ACAATACCTTTATTTGATTTATTTTTATGTGGTGCTGAGGATCGAACCCAGGGCCTCACATGTGCTAGATGCGTGCTCTACCGCTGAGCCCTAGCCCCAGCCCTTCCATTCCGTCTTTTATGTGTGTGTGAAATGCCTCCTTCTATGCCCAACTCTGTGCTCAGAACTCCTGAAATGAAGAGAAGCACAGCCCTGTAGTTAGCTTCCCGTCGCTGTGATGGGGCTCCTGAGGCAGTTGACAGAGGACGGGGCTGTTTGGGCTCACAGTCTAGAGGCTCCAGTTCCACAGCAAGTGGCCCTACTGCTTTGGCCTGTGGCAAGGGCGGCACATCATCGCGGGCATGCGTGGGCATGGCTGGGACACAGACCTGAGAGAGGTAGGGTCGCCCAGCCCCCCTCCAGGTCACACGACCTAAAGCTCTCCCATCAGGCCCCACCTGACATGCCACCCTGGGGACCGACCTTGAATACATGGGCCTTGGGGGACACTCATCAGAACACAGCCACGCACTGCTGCTTGGGAGCCATCCTCTGCCTTCTCTTCATAAAGCACAGCCAGGAGCCAAGAGAGGCCTGGCGGCTCTCTCCTCTCAGCTATCAAAGCCAGAGTGTCATGGTGAGCTGCCCCGTCCTGCTTCCTTGCGGGGGACACAGAGGAGAGGGTGCTGGTACTTGCTCCACACTTGCCCCTTGTCTGTAGTTTGTGCGGCTCTGATGGAGGGTTGAGGGTGAGTGCTTGGGTGATCCCAGTGAGGGAGCGATGGCCGTGGACAGCCATGGTGCCAGGCTACTGCAGCAGGCAGGTTCCCGGTCTCTGATGGCCGGGTGTGCCAGATGTGCACATTGCCATTGCTTTCCTGATACTTCTTCCTGGTTGAGTATTTTATCTTCAAAGAGAACAGCTTATCGGAGCATCCCATATGAAGGGTAGACATCCATGTAGACTGTCAGGGCTCTCCCACGAGGCCTCCAAATGTGGCCCTTCCTGCCACGTTTCTGTGAGTATCTGAGCCCTGCGCGACCATAACAGAGGGCATCAGTGATTTTTTTCCCCAGTCGGGTCTTCCTTAATTGGTCACAGAGTGTCCCTGACCTGGCTGTGTGGTATAGAGCCCCAGCCAACCACAGCTGGCTCCTGGGATCCAAGCCACTGTCTGAGTGCTGGACACCAGCAGCCCTGGGTGAGGAGTAAGGGCCAACTTTCTCGCCACTGGGCAATGGCTGGGATGTCCGTGGGAACCGGTCCTCCCTGAGGCTCTGTTACTGCTTCTCTCTTTGTTTCCTGCTGGCTTGGCTGAGTTTTTCTAGAAATGACTCAGTTCTGCTCTCAGAAGAGGTCAGTGAACTTATTGTCTTTCTCTAACTGTCAGCCTCAGCGCATTCCCAGAGATGAGGCAGGCTCCTGGGGACATGGTTTACCTTTTACTTCAAAACCAGGAGGTCTGCTTCCTGTTTCAGCTGCCACCCTTCAGGGGTGTGGCTTGGGACAGATTAGTTACCTTTGGGTGTCCTTTTTCTTTTTCTCCAAGTGAGACCCAACTGGCCTCATCTCCTGCAGCTGAGAGCACCAGTGAGGGCCTTTGTAATCTGGAACACGCCCTGTCCCTTCCCTGCTCTGCCTCAGCTTCTGCATGTCAGCATGAACACAAGAAAGTGCTGCACATGATCTCCGAGGGAACGCGTCATGGTTGTCCCCTCGTGTGGCGAAATTGTTCACTAGTTCTTCTTTTTTTTCCTTTCCGTATTCACACTTCACTAGCTCTTCTCTTCATTTGTTTAGTAAGTATTTATTGAACATGATGGTCCAGGAAAATAACCTGAGATCTGAGGGATTCTTGGTTTTCCAAACTAAACATGATGGCGTCCACGGCTGTCCTGATCTGGCTGGACCACAGCAGGGCACGGAAGCTCTGCCTGCCCCCTACCCATCCTCGGTTTCATGCCCTGTCACTTCCCTTCACTGATGGGTATTTAAAAAATACAATCTGTTTATCAAAAAGGCATAAGATTTGAATATATCGTCAGTGATTCCCACAAGGTGAACAGTTGCCCAGGTCAGGGTGGAATCCGTCACCCCGAAGCCTGCCCACCCTGGTCTCTTCCAGTGGTGGCACAGGAGCACAGTCCTCTTGCTGCCCTGGAGGCTGCCGAGAGCGGCTCTGCCCATGCCCTCTTCTCAGGCTCGCTCGAGACCTCCTCCTTCGGCTTCCGTCCTGTTGGCCCCCTCTCGTGCAGGGTCTGGATGAGAAGCTCTCTCTTCCTGGGTCCTGCACTCGTGGTTCTCACTCCCTGCCTGTGATAATGTGGGTCACGCTAGGTCGTCAGCGTCTGCCCCCTGCAGCCTGCCAGGCGCTCTGGCGGTGATCTGCAGCAGTGGTGGGCACAGAGCAGCCGACAGCCAACAGCTGCTGAGACTCGGAGTGTGGCGGGCCTAGGGGAGCTGAGTTTACCTAAGTTGCAGGGTTGGTGGTCCCTGTGCTGCCGTGTGACAGGGGCCGATGGCAGGCCCTGTGGTGGCAGGGGTGGAGAGTTCTCAATCCTCCCTGCTGCCTGTGGGAGGATTGACAGGAAGCAGCGCCCGAGGGCCGCCACTCTGCCGCTCTCCATCTTCCACATGATTACCAAGCCCTCGGCCTGTTTCCTCAGCATGTCGCCCACAGGCTCTCTGCATGGACCTGGACAGAATGGCAGGTGCCTCCCCTGGGCCCCGCCCATTCAGGGCTGTTGCTAGGGTTACGCTGTCGGTCTGGTTCTTGCCTCAAATCCTCCTTGGCTTCTTTTCACCACTGAAAGTTCACCTTCGACCATTCATCTGTTGTCCCAAGTATTGATTCTTTGCCAGAACACTGAAATGTGAACGTCACCACTGGGTGCACTTCCCTGTTGTAGTGACAGGCATGCGTGTGGAGGGTCTGTGGTCGGGAGCTGCCACATAGGAGCTGAGCGCCCCCTAGCTTTGAGCACGGGAATGTGGAGACGTGGCGAGCCAGCCTTGGGCCGTCTGAGCTGTGAGCACCTTGAGCGCAGAGCGGACTGGACTGACGATGCCCCTGTGGGCTGTGCACGTTGTGTCCCTTTCGTGGCTCTGCCTTTGATCATCACACAGCACATGAGAGAGGCGTGGCCTTCCTAGATGTCAATCAACCTGCTGACAGCAGACATCAGGAAGCTAGAGTCACCCCTGAAACCTGACCCCTTGCCTCGTTTGGATTGCTTCTCCCTAATAAAACCTGGTTCGAGGCTGCTCTTCCTCTTTCCTGCCTGCCTTGCCTCCTTGGGGGAGCTGGGTCAGAGGAGCCGTCACAGGACCCAAAGAAAAAGGCATTTCTCTGTCAGTGTCACTATTTCGTGCAGCCCGGTTCTCCTGGAGTGGCCCTGACTGGCTTCGTCGTGGGCGTGACAGCCTGTGTTACGTCGTGTGGCCCATGGCACTGCCACTGCTCCTCCTCATCTATCAGTCCTGCTGCGTCAGGCATCCTTCTTCAACTGTGTTGGAACAGTGAATGTGTCCCTGGTGATCCCAGGGTTAGGGTTCATCAGAAGTGAATCGACACTGCCTCGAGCCGCTCACCACCCAGCATGGCTGCGTGAGGATGCATGGAAATGGGAACGTTTGGCCCAGTGTGCGTGGAACAAAATGCCGTCTACTGGGCTGCAGGGGCTCTTAGACCACAGACTTTACTTCCCCAGCTCTGGAGGCTGGAATTGCTAAGATTGGGGTGCTAGCCTGGTGGGTTCTTGCAAGGGATTCTGCCTGGCTTGTGGGTGCTGCCTTCTTTTTTTATTTATTTTTTAGTTTTAGGTGGACACAATATCTTTATTTTACATTTATGTGGTGCTGAGGGTCAAACCCAGTACTTCGTGCATGCTAGGCGAAGGTTCCACCACGGAGCCACAACCCCAGCCTGGGTGCTGCCTTCTTACTCCTTTACACGAGGGCGTGGTGCGGAGGCACTGGGATCTCTCTCCTCCTCCTCTTGTGAGGCCAGTGCTGTTGGAGTAGGATCCTGCCCTATGACCCCGTTTAACATTACTTGTACCTAAAAGTTCTGTTTCTAAATGCAGTGACGTGGGAATTAAAACTTCAGCACCTGGATGCTGAGGGTTACAGGCTGGTGCCTGGCTCTCAGCTTTGGTACTTGGGGAGGGCCTGCAGGAGGAGGTGTCTGTAAGTCAAGTGCTGAAGGTGCGCACCCTCACCCACGTCAAGGCCTGAGGGTGCGTGGAAGCACAGCAGGCTGCGCCTGTGCAGAGGTCTCGGGTAAGGGACAACATGATGTCTTTGGGAAACTCAAAACAACCTGCTCTGTGTTAGTGTGTTTCAGAATGAGGGGACTCCATTGGAAGGGTGGGGAAATTCCTGTGCAGTTCCAAGGGTGACTCCGGGGAGAAGTGGCCTTTAGTTGGTCCCTGAAGTCCAGAAGGATCTGTGCATGAGAGGAGGCCAGTGGCAAGAAGGTGGTGTAGACTGAGGCTTTACCAACCAGGTGTGGGCTCAGGAGCCAAGGCCCTGTGAGCCAGAGTGCAGGGGAGGCTGATCTCACGAGGCAGCTCCGGGCCCCGGGAACGGTGGACAGGTGGTTTGAGAGAGAGAAGTTGGAACACTTCAGTTTGAAACCTTGGGTTGAGCTTCTCTCCTGGACTCTGGAGAGTTATCTTTTTTCTTCAGAGGCAAAAGCTCTTTTCTCATGAATTCCTTGGCTGTTAGAAGTAAGAGGATGTGCTCTGAGCCCGAGGAGAGAGCATCCAGGGTCGGTTCCCTCACTGTGCTCCTCTGTCTCTGCAGATTATGACTCGGATGCGATGAGCAGCTCCTACGAGTCCTATGATGAAGAGGAGGAGGAGGGGAAGGGGAAGAAGACCCGGCACCAGTGGCCCTCAGAGGAGGCGTCCATGGACCTGGTGAAGGATGCCAAGATCTGTGCCTTCCTGCTGCGCAAGAAGCGCTTCGGCCAGTGGACCAAGTTGCTCTGTGTCATCAAGGACGCCAAGCTGCTGGTGAGGTGCTCCAGTCAGCCGCCCTTAGAGCCAGAGGGCACAGAGGCCCAGGGCACTGTGACACCAGCCGTGGGAGGGAGGCGCTCCCCGGCAGCCCTGGGCCCACCAGGAGGAGCCGGGGAGCTAGCCCCAGTTACCATCCCCAGGGCTGCCCCTCCTGTCACTGGGCTGTGCCTGCGGTTTGTGTCAGTGGAAAGGCACAGTTACAAACTTGCCAGGAGTTGCAAGATGGGTTTTCTCATTTGTAGTGAGTCAGTGGATTCCTCAAAGCCAGGTCATGGCAGTGGGGTGGGGAGGCCGTTCAAGGCTTGGGGAGGGTGTGCAGAAGAGAAAATTCTTCTGGAAAGCTTAGGGCCAAGTTTTTTTTTTTTTTTTTTAAACCCAAGCACCAGAGGAGCGGAATAGAGTGAGTGCCAGAGCAGGGTGGGAAGCACAGCCCCCATGCCTGGGTGTTCTCCCTGGGGGCTCTGTGAGGAAGTGGGGCCCCCTGCCTGCCTGGGGTGTTTCCTCCACCCCTCCCTGCTCCTGGCTCCTCCCTCTCTCCCTCCCCTCTCCCTCCCTGTAGAATCCAAGGTTGCTTATCAGATTTATGAACTATAGGGTATGTTTTTACCTTTGGTTTTTCTTTAAAATTAAACTTGGGGAAAATTACCACTCAGAGGTGTGTCATTAAAACAGAAAACCTGGAAATTTTTGTTTCATGTTTAATGGAACAGATGATCCTTTTTTTTTAACCCAATTTTATCTGTGAATTGTGAGAGTCTTAGATTCCTAGGACTATGTTTATTTTTGTTTATTTTTTAAACACTGAGAGTACATATTTTTCCACACGTGTGGCCTGAATTTCTCCCAAATTCAGACGTGCCAAAAATGCCGCCCTTGGGAATTCCCGAGCACGGAAGAAGCAGGAATGGCACGGCCCTCCTTATGCTCCAGGCCAGAGGCTGCAGGCTGTGAGTGTCACACGGACACACTCAGCGCTCACCCCACGGGGGAGTGTGGGCATGGTGCAGAGCCTCTTGGCCACCTGTGGGTTAGCAGTTTAGGGCCCTGGTTCCTGGTCCCCTCTGTCACCTCTCCACTGTCCTCTTCCTCCTCGCCTTTCTCTGCCATTTGGTCTCCTGCAAGTTTCCCTCTCCATGCCAGGATGATACTTGCAGTACTAGAGCTTAGTTATAAATGTTAAAGAAGAAATTAATGGAGAACCAGCATGGTCTTTGATAAAATGCAAGATCAGAATTAGTTATTTTTATTAGGAAACTTTTTCCATTCGGAAATAACCTATGATCCAGCTACTTGGATGACCTAATTGACATTAAAAAGCTACAAGGATAGAAGCAAGTGACTTCCAAACTTCGCCTGTGCTGAAGGCTGTAAACAGAAATGAGCGCCTCCCTGCACCCTCGCCGTCCTCCCACACACATACCATTAACACTCTGTTGAATCTTCCTCTGGAACAGTTAGGTCTTCCGCCCAGGTGGCTCTGGGGTAGCACTGTGGTGCGCCCAATCCCCCTTCAGAACTGAACACTTGTTTCCTGGGCTGCTGGGAGGGTCACTGAGCCCTCTTAGAAGGGGTCCTCTAGCCGGAGGTCGAGCTTCCTTCCTGGAATCTGTGCGCAGGGCCGTGTTCAGACCAGCCCTGGGGCAGCTGCAGCAGGGCCTTGCAGTTCCCGCCTCCCGCGGGTCCCTGAGGCCTGGTATTTGAACTGCATGGCCTCCCTGCCAGGTCCTGCTCCACCCTTGGCCCCAGCCAAGTTGCTCTTAGGGGCCACCTTGGTAATGTCCTGTTCCAGAGGCAGTCTCTCTGGGCCACTCTGCCCGTCGCTAGGCTGCCTTTGTCATGTTGCTGATGACTTACTCACTGCAAGGCATTAGCTTACAGAAAAATACAAACTGTAAACCCCTCATTCCTCCACAGGCTGTTACTTTCCTTTCCCATCTTTTTTTACATTTATTCAAGTTCAAAGTTCTGCTAAATGGTGAGCACTCACAGCAGCCTGAGGTGGGCCGTTCTGGAGAGTTTCCTTTTCCCATCTTCGGCAGGCTGCCGTCAGTTGGAAGTTTTTAAAGTGGATCTCTCCTTACCCCAGAGTCGTGGGTTTAAGACTATGAACCAGGGAAGGACTCTAGAAACTGCTCTGAAAGTTGGTGCCTGTTCCTTGATTCCTTACCAACAATGCTGTGTCCCCATTAAGAGTGCAGGCCCTGCCCTTCTCCCTGTGGGCTGGAGTCCTGTCTGCACTCTTCAGTTGTCCTGTTTGGGCAAGTCACTTACCCAGTGGAGCCTCAGTTTCCTAATCTGCAGCACAGACAGCTGTGAGACATGTATGAAGTGGCTCTTCTAATGTGAGCACCCAGTGCCTAGTAGCAGGCGGAGTGCTGCTGATAGTGGGCTTTAACAATAACGCCAACAGTGAACATGCCTGACGACATGGACATGGACCATATTCCATATTAACAGAGCTAGGACCCAGATATCTGGCCTCTGGGGCTGTGTATCCCCATTAAGAGTAATGCTTGGGCTCTAAGTGCTACAGTTAAACAGAGAGGGCAGGCAGGCAGGGGCTGCGGCAGAGTTGGTTCTGTTATAGATGGAGAGTAAGCAAGAGCGATGGGAACCTGTCTCAGTTGTGAGGGACTCAGTGGACCTCGTGAACTTTGTGATGTAGGTGGAGCAGCCTGCATTTTGGCTGCTCTCACACACTAGAGGGGCGAACTCAAGGCATAGCTGTCCACCAGGCACCCATGTTGATACCTTTACTAAAGTGACTCACCTGCCTTTCAGAAAGGGAGGGCCATGGCCAAGCAGCACAGGCCACAGGTGTCACGTTATTAGACTGTGGCTCCATGCTAGGGCTTTGCTATTGCACCAAATCTGGTAGTGCACTTTCCACTTTATTCTTCATGTAAATGTAAGTGTTTTTATGTAAGTATATCCACTTAGTGAAGTAAGTCCACTAGAACATAGGCTCATCCCACTAGGAACATTTTATTTCCTGCTGAAGCATGTTCTGGATGCTTAGTAAACCTTTGCTGAATTAACAGGCACATCCACCAGCTGGTGTGAAGTGGTGCATGGGTTTGACACCTGCTGGTCTGCAGCTGCTGAGCGTCTACACTTTGGGATCAGACCCCCTGAAGCTTGCCTGTGCTCGTGGTTTTATTATGCTGGGTTTTATCAGTGTTTCTCTTCAAGCCTCCTTACCATATACATTGGTTTGTTGTGTTGAATGCAGTGCTATAAGAGTTCCAAGGACCAGCAGCCTCAGATGGAACTGCCTCTCCAAGGCTGCAACATCACCTATATCCCAAAAGACAGCAAGAAGAAGAAGCATGAGCTGAAAATCACCCAGCAAGGCACCGACCCCCTTGTCCTCGCAGTCCAGAGCAAGGAGCAAGCTGAGCAGTGGCTGAAGGTGGGTCGCCTGGTGACTCTGAGCCATTCCACTTCCCATCCTCTTCCTAGATCTTCTTTTATTTTGATTAGTTTTTTTTCAAGCTAAAAATAGATGAAGCTGAATAGTTCTGTCTTTGACAGCTGGGTACGCTATTCTATCAGAGTCCCTCTTCATGTGGCTCCCATCTCAAGGAGGCCATCTGTCCCCATTTGCAGATTGCCCTAGGGAGTTCTCTTTTATTTTTGTTTTCTATAGTTTCACTTCATTGTGTCTGGATATGGGTTCCTTTTTGTTTATTCTGCTTGATACATGCTGAGCTTCTTAAATTGGTAGATTGTTTGTCATCTTTTGGGAAAAATTGTTCAGACCTTTTCCTAAAAGACAGCTTTATCCCATCCCCACTTCCTTGAGACCGTGTTTGATTTTGTCCTACCATCTCAAGTTTACTTCTTATCCCTTCTTTGTATTCACTGTCCTGTTTTCTTCTTCTTCAGTCTGGCTTGTTTTCCTTGCTACCTTCCAGTTCACTGTTTCTCTCTGACAGTTTCTAATCTGTTGTTAAATTTGTTTTGTTCACTGTGTTTCTAATTTTGAATATGGCAGGCCACTTTAATGAAGTAACGTAGGCTGGGTGGGTTATAAACAACAGAAACAAGCAAGCCAGCGGACAGTGTGTGGTGTCTTCTTTCCCTCAGCATTCCCTAAGGTGCTGGAGCTGGGAGTCCAAGACCAAGGTGCCACAGATTTGGCGTCTGGAGATGGCTGCTCTGCAGTGGAGAGCTGTCTTCTCACTGTGCCTTCACATGGTGGCAAGGGCAAAGGCCGCTCTTGGAGCCTCTTTTATCCGGGCACTGATGCTATCTATGAGGCACCACCTCCCAGAAATCCTGTCCCCTATCATTTATATTGTTTGCGGGTCAAGAACGCTACAGGTAGAATTGATCTCTCTCTCCCTCCCTCCCTCCTCCGAGGGAACTTGTGTCCTGAGTCTGGTGATATCTGTGTATGCTTCCAAACCATGCTGTCCCTTGGCATGCCTGAACCATGACCATAAATGACATGGTTGCTCATGTTTCAGACTTTCACATAAGTGGCTTCACACCCCACTGTCCTCCAGGGCTCTTGCCACTCAGAATTTTCTCAGCCATCCTCGTGAGTGGGACCTCTTTGGGCATCTACGTGCCACGAGCTCTGTAGAGCATGTCCTCTGGCTTTATGCCTCAGTTTCCTTAGGATGGGACCCTCACAGGGCATCTCTGGGCATAGGACGTGCACACCTCTGACATCATGGATTCTGCCAGGTTGCTGTGTCGTTTGTGCAGTTATGCTTCTGCCTGCCACAGAGAGTCACCTTGGTTTTTTCTGGGTCCCTGCAGGGTCTCTTGGTGCATGTGCAGGAGACGGAAATGCCCCTCCTGGTTCAGGCAGCAGTAGACGAACATGATCGAGATGAGTTTTTCAAGTGGCTTTGCCGGAATCCTCAAGGATCACACAGGTTCCCTCGGGCATCGCTGTGTGGGTCCCAGGTCCTGTGCTCTTCACAGACAGGCCTCCACACTGGCCCAGCACACACCTCTCTGGCCCAGACTTGCCCACTGTGCTACAAGTGGAAGTAATGTCACAGGAATTGTTAAGGAGGAAGAGGGAGAAAATGACTTAAATGCACTCTCGAAGTGTAATAGACAGCTAGAGCATGAAAACATGATATTGTTCCTTGCACCCCGCCAGGTCCCCATGGGACTCTACGTGGCTAACAGGAGGCCCCATGCCACGGGGGCCGTGGGTCAGCCTCAGCCGGTGCTGCCTGCATCGTTCTAGCTCGTGGCCCAGGCTGTAGATGTTTTGAAACAGCTTTAATATAACATTAAAAACCCTTTAACAAAGACACACATGCTTCTGTCAAGCACACGAGCTGGAGGCGGGTGGCCTTGGAGGCCTGGCCTTGTGCTCTTGAGGGATTCCTGCCAGAGTGGTTCTTCCTGTGTCTGACTGGTGTGCGTGTGTGTGTGTGTGTGAGAGAGAGAGAGTGTGCGTGTGTGCGACTGTGTGCATGTGTGTGTGTGTATGAGTGTGTGCATGACGGTGTGTATGCATGTGTGAATGTGTGTGTGCATATGTGTGTGACTGCGAGTGTGAGTGCAAGTGTGTGTGCGTGAAAGTGAGTATGTATATGCGTGTGTGAATGTGTGCGTGTGTGTCCATGTGAATGTGTGTGTGAGTGTGTGAGTGCAAGTGTGGGTGTGCATGAGAGTGAGTATATGTGTGAGTGTGTATGAGAGTGCATGTGTGCGTGAGTGTGTGAGTGCGAGTGTGTGCGTGTATGAATGTGTGTGAGTATGCTGTGAGGGTGTGTGTGAGAGTGTGTGTGTGTGTGTGTGTGTGAGCGTGTGTGCAGATGCTGCAAGCAGGAGCCGTTGTGCAGAGGTCAAGCAGAAGACAAGAGCCAATCTTCCCAGAAGCAGAGTGGTCAGGTTTCCTTAAAAAATGTGCAGAGATTGTGTTTCTGGAAAAGAGAGTTCAAGTTAAAAGCAAACAAAAATACCGCAAAACATATAACAGTTAGTTTTTGGAGCGTTGTGACTTTGCATTCAGATGCAGTTCTCTCCAGTATGTGTTGAAGTCCTCACAGAATGTGGCTCTCTAAATAGAGCTACGTTGGTGCAGCGCACTCGCGTGTAGTCCTCCTGAGGCCCAGGGTGACAGAGCCTCTGTTTGTTCTTCTGAACTAACCCTGAAGGTGCCTTTGGCCTTCGATGGAGAGCCAGGGGGGAGGACACTGACACGAGGTGACCTGACTTCTTCCACTGAAGTGACTCCCTGGCCTTCCCACATACCTCCTCCGAGTCCTGGGCAGGATCCTTGTTGATTCTGGGGAAGACGGTCTTGTGATGGCAGGAATGCCCCCAGTTGCTGTCTGGGTCTCTGTCCTGCCGTGTGCCTCCCCCTTCCCAAGCACTGTTGGGGACATGGCTCCCCTCTGCCAGGAATTTCAGTTCTGGCTGGGAGAGGGATCAGTGGCTGGACAACAAGGCAGTGCGGAGGCCAGCGTGCGCTGTGTTGGCTCCTCTGTGTGGCTCCTTGAAGGCTGTCGCCAGGCACTGGCTCTGTGGCCGGGCCACTTCTGCCGCCAGCAGCCTGGTGTGGGAGAGCTGGCTGTGCCAGGGAGCAGCTCCCTGGAAGGCAGCCTGGCAGGGCGCTATGCAGGTGGCTTTTTTTGTGCCAAAAACAGCAGTGTTTTCTCCTGTGAAGCTTTCAGAAATCAGTGCAGAGGACAGGGGGCCGTGTCCCAGGCTCTACCTGCCTGGTGGCAGCCTTGTTTCTTTGGCTTTTCCTTCCTTCATTCCTTTCCCCGTAGAGATTCTCAATCCAGTTTATTTTTCATTCCCTCATTTTTCCCCTTGACCAGACTTTCAGCTGCTGTCACATGCTGGCCCTGGAGCACAGCTGAGAGGACCCAGCCTCTGTCAGGGAGCGCAGTGTGGAGGAGACTCAGGCCCAGGAGCATGTCCGGGAAGAGCAGTCCTGGCCCTCTGGGGGTGTGCGAGGGTGGCCACGCCACGTGGACCACAGGGAGGCATGGTAGTGGGCTTTCCATCCCTGCGCAGACAGCTTAGGGGAAGAAAAGTGCTAGGCTTGGGTTGCAGAGGCTCCAGCCCGTGCTTGTCGCTGGTGGTCTGCCTTTGCCTCTGGTCCTGGTGAGGCGGAACGGCATGGCAGGGGCACACAGTGAGGCAGCTGGGAAGCAAAAAGGGTCCCAACATCCTCTTCAAGGGCACACCCTAGTGACCTGACTTCCACAGGACCCGCCTCCCAAAGGTGTACCCCCTCCCAGGAGCACCGAAGCCTGGCGATCAACCTGTAGCATGTGGCCTTGAGGGACACTAGTGCAGACCATGGCAGGAGGCCAGGCAGGCTCCCTGGAGTTGTGGGAGCCTGAGGCTGAAGTGTAAGAGATGGGTTCTGTTTGGCTGGGAGGAAGTGTGTGCTCTCCCCAGGAGACCCTGGCCCTGGAGAGGTGGGGGAGGGGATAATGGAGCAACTCTGCTGAAGATGCTCTATGTTCTTCCCCATGGGAAAACCAGGAGGAGACAGAATACAGACCTTCTTGGTATAAAAGCTTTTGCAGAGATTGTAGGATTTTGCAGGTTCTGGTTTGGCGGCACCGCTTTTTAGTGCAAAAGGAGAATTTGTTGGGTTCAGGTTTATGTGCATAGTTGAAACCTGGTTCCTTTATTTGGATCTGTGACTGGGAAAGCACAGAAGTCACTTAGCACCTGTGAGGGAGAGGTACTGGGCAGGGCGCTTCACATCCTTGTAACCACTCTGTTTTCTCTGTCACTGCCAGGGTGTCATCTTGTGCATGTTCCAGGTTAGGAGAGAGAGGCTCAGATTGAGTGGCCCAGCCTTGCGTGCACAGCAGGTGGAAGAACTGGGAGTAAACTAGGAGCTCTTGTTTGGCGGAAAAGCTCAGGAGCTGCTTCCCTAGAAAAAAGAGCCTTGTCTTTAAATCAAGTAAAAATGTATCTTGTCAGTTGAGGATTTGGTCATCACGTGGGCAGGAGGGCACGAAGACCCGCCGTGGGGTGGTCAGTGTGGAAGAGGGAGGAGCAGGGAGAAGCTGTGGGCGGAGCGCCGCCGGGTCCTGCTCGAATCTCAGAAATCACCAGGAGGAGCGATGCCGCGAGCCCTCTGGCCGCCTCCTCACTTTCTTCTTCCCTGTGCCGTCCACTTCTGAGACAGCTCAGGTGTGGACGCAAGTCACCCTGCGCTCTGCACATGAGGCATCCGAATAGCAGAGTGCCTGGGGACACAGCCTGCTTGTCAGCTCCGGGCCAAGTCCAGCCCAGTGTGACTGCAGGGCGTCTGTGGAGGCTGGTGCTGCCCAGCTCTCTGGGGCTGGCGTTCCTTTCTGCCCAGAAGCAGCTTGGCTTGGCTCCTGCTGCAGTGTAGATCCAGGAGGAACAGGCGGCTTCTGTAAGACTTGCCTGCTGACTTGTGGGGACAAGAGTGTGTGAGTTACACAGGCACGTGGTTCTTGTTTCCTTATTCACCTCACGTCCCGTGACGGGCCACACCTGGACGTGGTATGAGCTTAGTTGTGATGGAGAAGCCAGCAGGTGGCCATGAGGGCCCCTTGTGCCAGCATGGGGACATGGGCTGGTGATTCCTACTCTCCACCTAAGTTGCAGAGAGGCTCACCGTAGCGAGTGCCCGTGGTCACAGCGCGTCTGTGTGGTGAAGGAGTTTGGGTCAGATGCTGGCTTGGGCATCTTAACGTGCAAGGTCTCGTTTCCTCTTCATTTAGCCGAAGTCCTGCAAGACAGGTCACCTTGACGCCTTCCTTTGTGTTAGTCAGATTTTCATCACTGTGACCAAAACACCTGACAAGAGCAACTTAAAAAGGAAGAGTTTCTCTGGGCTCACAGTTGCACGGGTTCTGTCCCAGGTCAGCGGACTCCGTTCCCCAAGCCGGAGGTGACAGAGCATCCTGGTGGAGGGCATAGTGGAGGACAGCGGCTCAGCTCCTGGGACCCAGGAAGAAGGGAGGGAGGGAGAAAGGGAGGGAGGGGGAGAGAGAGGAAGGACAAGATGTAGTCCCCATGGGCCCACACCCAGTGACCTACCTCCTCCAGCCATGCCCCTCCTGCCTCCAGTTACCACCAGTAATGCATTCAAATTATCAATCCATCACATGAATTAATTCACTGATGAGGTCACGGTGCTCATAATCAGCTCACTTCTGAACATTCCTACTTTAACACCTGAGCTTTTGGGGGACACCTCATATCCACACCATAATGATGAAACTGAGGCTCAGAGAAGCTAACTATCTCCCCCATAGCTGCAGAGCTCGTTCCTGAGGGTCTGTCCTCATGTGTCTCTGAGGAGGTAGGCCTGGCCAGGCAGCAGTGTTCTCAGACCCTCCCCGTGAAGAGCCTCTCTGCATTTTACTCTGTTCAGAGGGCTGAAGCCTTTAGTAGGAAAAGGAGCACTTTGAGAAACCTTCCTTTGTGCATCGGCTTCCTCCAGCCTTGCCCCTCCCATAATCGCCGCCTCCCTCCCAGGGAGTCTTCTCTTGGGGTCGGCTGGCTCTGGCTGTCTGCCCAGCTCTCGCCTTCTTGCTGGAGCCCCCTTCTCTCTGCTCCTTTGGGGCTGCCCTCTCTGCTGGCCTGTGTGGCACTGCTCAGTCTCTTCTCCAGCCTGATTGCAGCCGCCTGAGCTGAGGTCGCTGCCAACCTGCCTGTGGAAGCTCCGTCCTTCATTCCCTGCGGCTCTCGAAGCTGCTCACTCCATCTCATCTGCCTGGGGACCCTGGTTCATGCCCAAGTCTACACTGTGCAGGGCCCTTCTCAGAGCAGGAACTCTAGCGCACTGTTCTGCTCTGCTGCCCTGGGACCTGGGATGGTCCCACTGGGTGAGCCAAGGCGCGAACATGTGCAGACCTGTGTCTGTTCAGTGCCAGGTGCTCCTGGCCCTCCAGCTTCCCTGCACGCCGTCGGCCTTGGTCTGTTCACCCCTGGTCTGGCCTCCGTCCTGAACCTCTGCTTTCCACAGGTGATCAGGGAAGCCTACAGTGGCTGCGGTGGCCCTGCGGATCCCGAGTGTGTTCCACCGCCCAGTGCCCCAGTGCACAAGGCAGAGCTGGAGAAGGTAAGGGCGAGTCTCTCCAGGAACCGGGACTCGTGAGTGATTTGGGTGTCACTCCAAGTGTTTGGGTTCTCTTAAAATGTCTTTTTATTTTTAATTGAGACACACTAATTGTATATGTCTGTGCATGCTGTGTGACCTTTCAACACTAGTAGACAGTGTGTAACCATTGAGTCAGGGAAATTGGCGTGTCTGCCACCTCAGACATTTGGTATCTTATTATACTGGGAACATTCAAATTGCCTGCAAGCTTTAATAACACTGAGAATTTCAGGGCTGCAGTTGGAAAACAGATGCAGTCCTGCTTGCTGTCCTCTTCCGAGTCTGCTCTGGACAAGGCTCCAGGGCCTCGCTTGCTGTGGACGAGCTGTGGAACCTTAGGGGGTCTTGTGCAGAGCCACGGAGCTGTTGCCTATTGTGACATGCAGCAGGCACTTCACAACCTGCCTTCCCCAGGGTCTAACCCCCAGGCAGGCGGAGCTCACCGCCCCTCTGCTTCTGCCAGTTTTCTTGCTAGGAGGAGTACAGGGCGCAGTAGTCGGTGTGTAGCTTGTTGCCTGTGCACGTCTTCTTGCCAGAGGTGCGGGGGGCACCCTGTAGTGCCGCGTTCCTGCTCTGATGTCCTTGGTCTGCACATCACTGGGACTGTTCCTGGCTCTGGCCGTGGAGTCGTCCCTTGCAGCTGTGTCCTAGGAGCGTCCCAAGCCTGCCTGCCGAAGCCCCAGCCAGGGGAGGAGCGGATCCTCCTATTCTCTGTCCTTGTGTTAGGGTTCTCCAGAGATGCAGAACTGAGGGGTGTGTGTGGAAAGAGGTTTGTTCAGGGGTGTGGCTCCCACAGCTATGGCGGATGCAAGTCCTGATGTGCATCCTGGACACAGCAGAGGCCCAGGAGTGACATGCAGGCTGGCCCCCGGCCTCTGCTGCAGCAGGCCCTCTAGCTCAGGCAGGAGGCTGGTCTTTTCATCCTGTCCAGTCTTCACACGATGTGTGAGGTCCACCCACATCAGGGGGACAGCCTGCTTATACGAGTTCACTGATTGGATCACCCAGGAACGCCCCCTTCCAACCTGACACACAGTTAACCACCTGGTATTTTAGTAGAACAGCCTGTTGCTTTATTCCTGAGTATAAACTCTTACTGTATAACACTGAGAAAGTTCAGAGAAACATAAATAGCAGGAAGAAGTCACTCAAGTCTGCCCCTCTTCATGCCCTCCATGGCATTCGCCAGGTTTCCCTGGGTGTGTTTCTTTTACATTTCGGATGATCTTGTGCAGTCAGGTTTCTCACACGCCTTGTTTCCCACCTGCCTGAATCTGGCTGGCCGGCTCCTAGGTTTTGACATTCATAACAAGCAGCAGGGTTCTGCAGTTTCATCAGCTGGATGTGACGCTTTGCCACCTTCTTATCACTGAGGTAGCTGTGCAGTCCCCTCTCCCCACAACTATCCCATTTTTCCTTTTTCTAGACTGCTTAAATAACGTGGTAGTAAGACCTTTTGCATAAACCTCTGCTGCTTCTCTGCCTATTACCCGAGCACAGATTCCCAGGAGCTGAATTATTAGCCCATAGGAGGGAGCTCTGCTAAGTGTCTGTCCCACTGCTAATCCCGTCACTTTCCCCGAGGCCGTGGGTCTCACTCCCGCCAGTGCCTCCCAGCTCCTGGTGCACTCCCATCAGAACTGGTGACGTGCCTTTCCTTAGCTTGGCCTCTGGGCTGCGTGCTGTGTTCCTGGGCAGCTGCAGGTCTGAGAGCGGGGCAGTGCTGGCTCTGGTACTTGGAGCACTGGCCGGGTGCACAGTAGGAGCCTGCTGCATGCCACTACTTTCGTTACCAGAGTTCTTGCTGGTTTCCTTTGTGCCTGGCTGGCCAGTCTCTGTGGCTCTGGGGGTTAATGTGGAGGACCAGAGACACCCATTTTGGAAGCCATTCCTCCTCTGACTCCACAGGTTCTGAGGAGGGATGGAAGGGTCCAGCTGCCACACTGTGGAGTCCTGATTATGCTCATTACATCAGGAGATCAGGCCTGAAGTAAACAAGGAGCCTAGCCCCACTGTTTTATTTTGGTGCTGGGGATGGAACCCAGGGCCCCAAGCTTGCCAGGCAAGCACTTGACTGCTGAGCCACACCCCCGGCCATGGGAGGCTTTGATAGTAATTTCTCTCTTTCTGTGTTTGTTCTGAATACATTTGTTACAAGTAAATACTTGACATTTACCCGATTATTGGCAAATGACAGGGAAAAGATAGATGAGGGATTATTTACTCCTGCAAAGAAAATATGGCTTAGTGAGTAATCCTTATACTTTTTCATGACTGTAAGAAAAAGTGATTTGAGTGGAGGGCAAGGCACGCACATGTGTCAGTACACCAGAGCCACGGAGTGGTTCTCTTGGTTGGTTTGCATTTTGAAGCTTCTGCAGCTGCCTGACCAGCAGGTCTGTGCTGGAGGGAAGCCCCGGCTCTCTGCGCTGAGTGGATCCCACCACATCTGACTTCCTTCCAGAGGCTTCTGACAACCCATCAGCGTCGCCAGAGCCGTGTGGCCTCTAGGAGCAACCTAACCCTCTGTGTCCTTACAGAAGCTGTCTTCAGAGAGACCCAGCTCAGATGGGGAGGGTGCTGTGGAGAATGGCATCGCCTCGTGCAACGGAAAAGAGCAAGGTGAGCCCCACCTGTGGCCGAGTGCAGACTGGGGGAGGCAAGGGCGGTGGGCACGCAGTGACCACGTGGTGCTCTGGGCTTCAGCTGCGGACACCCTGCCTGCCACAGGTCATGTGACAGGAGCAGGGCCTGTGGTCAACCTCAGCCAGGGATCACCTTCCCATCCTGCCAGCCCCAGCCTGGGCAGTGCCCTTGTTCATAGTGCCCAAGTGTATTTTGAACTGATGGTTCCTGCCAGCCTGCTTCCTTGCTAGATCTATTGCTGAGACGGATTTGTACCAAGGAGGGGCTGGCATCTTGCTTGAGACCTTTGGGGAATGAATGGGACCTCGAGTGGCTGCCCCAGCACTACTTTCGCTTAGCCATATGATCAGGAGCAAGTATTCCCTGCATGAACTTCAGTTTCCCTATCTTTAAGACGAGGAGACCAAAATCTGAAGTCTTTTTTAAAAAGATTTTCTGAAAAGATCTTTTTTTTCTCTCTGATGATCCTCCTTTCGCTCCCTTATTTCTGATGGTGTGTTCTATGTATATGTAAAGGAGATATTCCCCTTGGTAACAAGGAGGACCTGAGATACCCATTTGGAAGCTGCTGTGCCTCTGGCTCCCCAGGTTCTGGGAGTGATGGAGAGTCCAGTGCCGCCCACACTCCCTCAGAGGCTGACAGCATCCTGCTGGTGCTCAGTGAGCCCGGAGACCAGGCCTGAAGTAAACAAGGGACCCAGCCTACCCGCCCGTGACAGGGTTCTGTCAGAGTCAGTCTGTGATTCGCCCCTTTCTCTCTCATTCTCCACATCTGTCATCCATCACCCCATATCTTTAATACCCGATTTCTCCCCAACTGCTTTCCTTTCCTTATTTTGCTCTATCGTCCATATATGAGAGAAACATTTGACCTTGACTTTCTGAGTCTGGTTTATTTCAGTTAGCATGATTTTCTCCATTTCCACCCATTTACCAGCAAATGCCATCATTGCATTCTTCTGAAAATGTTTTTATTTCACCTGCATTTACGTTTTATAAACCGTGGTAGAACACATACACCGTAAGAGCAGCCATTGTGACGATCCGTGTGCATAGTTGATGGCATTAAGCGCATTCTCACTGCTGGGCAGCTGTCTTCGTCCATCCCCAGAACCGTTCCATCTTCCCAAACTGAACTCTGTCCCCGTTAACCCTGGCTTTCCTCCCTAGAGCTGACACATGCAGTGCTGCGTCTGTCTCTGAGTTCCATGGCTCTGGGGCTGTGTCCTGTAGTGACTGGCTGTTTCACTCAGGGTGTGTCTTTGTGGTCAACCCAGAGTGTTGCTTGTGTCAGAAGTTTCTTCCTTTTGTCACATCGTCATCACACACTATGGGGGACCGGGTGTTGAGCACCCCTATGTGCACATGTTAGAACAATGTAATTTGGCCAGAGTTCCTCTGCCTCCCTCTGGCCCCTTGCTCTCCTCTGCTGAGGTACCTTTCATTCTCATAGATCCCCACTTTCCTTTCCTCTCTCCTCTCCAGCTTCCACGTGAGGGGAGCGCGTGACCCTGGGCTGTCTGGGGTGGGCTGTCTGACGTGGGCGTGTTTGGCTTTGACATGATGTTAAGGATGTTTCCACCTGTTTTCTGGTGTCCTTTCTTTCTAAGACTGTGAATTCCATCCTAGGAAAGCACCACATTTTGCACATTTGTCCACCGGTCAGTGCACCGGGCTGCTCCTGCTGTTGGTGCTCCTGAGCAGGGCCTCTGGGAACAGTGTGCAGGTGTGCACGCCGCTCTCTCCCAGCTCAGCTCTGCCCATGGCCTGCAGTTCTGTGTTGGCAGACGTCTCTCAGGCATGGAACCATCACCACCGTCAAGACAGGGCGCTCCTGTTCCTCCAGATGTCCTGTGCGCACCTTTGAGCCACCTGGCACTGCTGAGCTGCTTCCTGCCCTGCAGGTGGACCCCCTTCTGGGTCCCCCTCCCCATTGCCATCTGCTTCCCTGCTGAGGCGGTGAAGATGGCTGCAGGGGGCGGTCTTCTCGGGGTGGCTGTGCACGCTGGGTCTTCCCCTTCCCCACTGCAGAGCCGCTCTGGCTGTGCTAGGCAGGTGGACCTGTGCCTCTTGCCCCTTGGGCACTGATCCCAGTGTGGGTTGCCAGGCCATGAGGAGTCTCACCAGTCTCAGTGTTGTCCCTTCTGCTCTGTCCGGTCCCTTCTCTGTGTGGAGTGTGACTGTGGTTTCCCTAGTGACTGGAGGGGGCCGAGCAGTTTTCCTGTGTTATTGGTGGTTGCTGTGACTCTGTGAGGTGTCTTCTCGGCAATTTCTCCATGTTTTTATTGGGTTGTTCACTCCTATTGAGCCTTGAGGGATCTGTGCTTGTTCTGAATGCAAGTCCTTTGTCAGGTGTGTGTTTTGTGCAGCTTTTCTGCTTCACTGGCTTTAACGTCCTAGGAGTATGCCTGGAGGTGAGGGCCGTGACTTGTGGTCGGGAGGGAAGCCTCCCTCCACAAATCCAGGTGACTCTGCTCTCCCAGAGCCTGTGACCCAGCTGCCCAGGTGCCCTGTGTGGTTAGTTGGAAACAAGGGTGCCTTCTCTGGTGAGAGGCCGGCCCACAGCTGTAGCAGCTAGGCTTGAGGACCCTAGTGCCCTGCCGTCAGGACGTTGGTGCCACCAGGTTCTCATCAGAAGCTTTCGTGGTCTGCTTTTGCAAGGTGGCTTACCAGCTGGGTCCCCTCTGTGAAGCTTCTCAGTGAGCGTGTTGTCCGTGTCCTCCATGGGTGCTGCCTATGATCAGGACCTGGAAAGCGGTCTGAAGTTTTCCCTGAAGTCGAATGACCTACAGCCTCCGTGGTCCAGCTTAGCTGTGTTTTTGTTTGCTTTTTGTTTTGAGGCTGGTCTAACCATGTCGCCTGGCTTTTTTCCCTACTCCTGCGTCCAGCCGTCTCCTGGCCCAGCCAGGACCGCAGCCCACCACTGGGCTTGGCCCCTGCCCTGCTGTTACACTCCGTGGACGCTGCTCAGCTGGTCTTTCTCTGTCTGTTCTTTCTTCCCCGATGCACCTGAGGGGCACGTGGATGGAATGGCGCACCTCTATGACACGGGCAGGGGAACACCGGCTTCTCCTGCCCTCCTGTCCCTTTGTCATGCCCTTCTGGCCTTGGGACTCAGAGAGCCGCCTGCTGCAGCCACTTCCTTTTGCCCAGCAAGGTGCTGTGGGTGTGGCAGACACTGAGGAAACGGTCACCAGAGGGGATTAATGGCCCAAATACACCCCTCCCGCCCTCCCTCCACTCCTGGCTGCATCGGAAGCTTCCAGCTGAGCCTCCCTCACTGGCCGCGTGTGGTTTGCAGACGTCTCTGTATAGTTGCCTGAGTGTGAGGATCTACCCTGAAGGTGGCACCAGACTCGGTGGTCGGATCGGGCGCCTGGCTCACTCGCCAGCTCTTCCTTCAGGGCAGAGTCCTGGTGTTTAAGACGCCAGTGCATGTGGCTTGTGGTGAGTGGGTCAGCATTCTGTTGACACTGTAGCTGACGTGAGCAGAGAAGATAAAGGTCCCAGGGCAGTGCATAGGGAAGCAAGCACATCCCCAGCCTACTCTGCTTCCCCCATCTGCACGTGGGTCGGGGTGGACTCAGTGAGTCCGTAGTCCGATGGCACTGTCCCACCCTCTCCCACCAGCCTTGACAGCAGAGCGCCTAGGTCCCCTTCTGTGGGATGACGGGGAGCTGCCTGGCTTTGTGGGTTTAAGTGCACGGAGTGGCCTTGCTTCCATTGTCTCGGTCACTCTTGTACCCACCTACCTCCACACTATCTGGACCCTGCACTTCACCGCTGTGCGTCTTCAGTGAGTGGGGAGTTCTGGTTTGTAATTGTGCTAAATTCTGCCTTTTGTTTGCTAAGTGGCCTCACGAAGTTCTTGATGGTTTTTTCTCATGTCCCTACACACTTTGGCTTTTCTTCCAAGGATGGCCTGACTTCTGCCTTTGCAAAAGTTAAGCAGTAGGTATTGAAGGAACCACAGATGTTAATTATTTTCTTAGGTCTTTGTAGTCAGAGCCCAGCAAGCTCTTTCCCAGCAGAGCCCATCGGTGTCATTGGAGTGACTGCGAAACCCCAGGCTGATGAGACGGACAGCGAGCGCTGTGCCAGGGAGAGTTGCCTGCTCATGCTCTGTGAGCCTGGGACAGGGTGGGTGCCTTCTGGGTGCTTCGCTGTCCTGGGCCACATGTCTTTGTGGAGCTCGGCTGGAGTAGGTGATGGCACTGGATTGTCTGCGGAGTGTGTGAGACAGCAGCGTGGCCTGCAGGGCATGTGAGATGCCAGGGTGGCCTGCAGGGTGTGTGAGACAGCATGTGCCTGCAGGGTCTGTGCCATGGCAGAGTGACCTACAGGGCTGTGAGATGGCAGGGTGGCCACCCATGGTGGCTGTCCCTTTTTGTTTGGTCCAACTGACATGGAATGATCAGCCTCTCTTCCCAGGTCGCAGGTGGCCACCTTCTCTTTGTGTCCTCACACGGGCCTTCTTCCGTGCCCCCACCACCAGGATCTCACCCCGGGATCAGGGTGGTCTTTCCTGATGCTTCCCTACAGGCCCACCTCCCCGTGCCGCCCCTGGGGGTCTGAGCTCCCAGTGACTGGGGCACACTCAGCCCACAAGGCTGGGTTCCCAGTGGCTCTGCTCACTGTGGCACAGCCACATGGCTTGTCACCATCCTGGAGAGGGACTGAGGAGTAGTGCCAGTCCCACTGGGCCTGAGGGCAGCTGTGAGTAGGGGAGGGCCAGGCCCGAGGTGGGAACCTGTGTGATGCCCCCCGCCCTGACCACCTCACAGTGGGCGGCAGAGGAGCAGCAGACGACTGCCCGTTCCCATGGAAGAGGGCCTCTGTGGGTGGAGGGAGCTGGGGCGTGTCCAGCAAGGATCGCCACAGGCTCCTAGAGGGCTCCTCTCTGCCTTGTCCTGCGTGCTGTGTGCTTGTTCCTTTCGGGGGAGACAGGAGCCGTTGGCTTTCCTGAGGTCCTGAAGGGTGGCTGCCCAGAGGCTGACCGAGGGCTGGGCGGGGTGCTTGGCCTCCGTGCAGCACAGGGGCCGGGCTGTGCTGAGGGTGGCTCCAGGGAAGGCCTTTTGCCCTCGCAGGTGCATGGTGCCCTTAGGAGACTGACTGGGCCAGCCCACCCTTCCCGAGGACTGTTGCTCACATGCCTGTTCCGATTGCTGCCTGACCCCGTCCCTGCAGTTCTATTAGAGGTCACGGACAAGGCCTGAGGTTAGCGGGGGTGTAGGTGACTGAGCTGAGCAGGGGTAGGTCACCAGCTGGTGGCCAGTTGCCCCTCTGTGGTGGGGGTCAGTATGGAGAGAGAGCTGCCCATGTCAGAGCTGGCTGGAGCCTGTCTGTGTGGCTCTGCTGACACTTTCCCACCTGTGGGTCCAGGTTTGCCAGGTATTTGTGTTTCAGGAGAAGCTTGAAATCTTTTTATGCAAAATGTTTGTGAATTTGTATATTAACCCGATGAAATAGAGCATCCCAGCTGAAAGGCAGGCAGTGGTCTAGAGTCTGGACAGGGCAGAACGGAGCAGGAGGGCAGGAGGTGCCCAGGGGGACCCGGGCCCCTCTGTTCCCTGCGACCCGCGCTTCGCCTGCTCCTTCTGCTCCGCTTCCCCAGGCCTGCAGCCCGCATCAGCAGCTGCTCCTCTTGCGGGCAGCCCTTTCCTCTGAAGTCGGCAGGACTCCTTCCTTGTTACTGAGCACTCGGCCTGAAGTCCACCACCAGCCACTCTCCCACAGGGCCCTGTGGTTCCTGCCACTGCTTGGTGCATGTGGACACTTGTGTGTGTGCGCAGACGTGCTGCTTATGCTGGACACACGTGTGGCTGTGTGTCCTCAGCCCTCTCTAGGGTGCAGGCTTCCGGAGAGCAGCTCTGTGTCCTGCTTTGGCCACAGCATCTAGACCCCGGTGACATAGAGCAGGTACTTAAGCGTGCCTGATGAGCCCAAGTGGGGGAAGAAGACACGAGGTGATTTAGGCTTCATGTCTACTTTTTAAAGTTAACATCCTCAATTAAAACAAGCTTTTGTTGACAGTGAAGAGGAAGAAAAGTTCCAAAGCGGAAGCCAAGGGAACTGTGTCTAAAGTCACTGGGAAAAAAATTACCAAGATCATTGGTTTGGGCAAGAAGAAGCCATCCACCGACGAGCAGACATCGTCAGCCGAGGAGGACGTCCCCACCTGCGGTGAGCCTGGTGCAGCGCCCTGCTGGGGCAGCTCGGTTGCGGGAAGCAGTTTTATTTATGTTAATGGAAGGTTTTGCAGGGGGTTGGGATGATTGCTAAGGTTCCTTCAAGAGTAAAATCCCCAGCTCTCAGGCCTGTGAGGTTGTCCCACGACCCCCTCCAGCAGCCTCAGGCTAGAGCACACATGTACTGCAGTGGGCAGAGGCGGGAGGGCAGAGAGGGTGGCGATGGAGTTAGACCAGTGCTCTCTTGTGCCAAGGTATAGAATCACACCTCATCATAGTGTCACAGGTCCCTGGCCGCCCGACTGGCTCTTCCCTCTGGCCCCATCTCTGGGCAGCTGCGTCTGTCAGGGTGGGATTGAGCTTGTGTGTTCAACAGTGGGCCAGAAGGCCCTGCCGCCATGGCTCGCGTCTAGGAGCAGGAGAGGGGACAGTACAGGGAACTGCAGAAGTGAGCTTGCCACGCCCAGCTGTGGTCAGTAGTGCTGGGCCACTGCAGAGGCAGCCAGGGCCTCCCAGGACGTCATGTGGGCTGGGCCAGCCAGGGGCCAGTGGAGGCCTCCGGGAAGAGGAGGGCTGACTGTAGGCAGCCCAGCCAGAAGAATGCCTGGCTCTCCTAGGAGAGCAGCTCACAGCTGAGAGGTGGTGTTTGCCTTTCCTGGTTGTGGTGCTGGACTGTGCCCAGAGCCTGCTGCCTGCTGGGTAGGGAGTAGGGCTCTAGCACTAGCTGCACCCACCGGGCCCTTTGCCTGTGGTAAACCATCACCAGTGGCGGGCCTCCGCTCAGCTGCTGCTGCTGGGCCGTCAGCTTCCGCCTCCCTTCACTTCCTGCTGCCCGCCCCTTTCTCCCCTTCCCTCCTTGAGCATGTCACATCCAAGGTCTTGGGGGCCTTTGAGGGTAGCAAAAGGGCAGCATGTGGGTCCTGCCCAGTGGGCCCAAGCTGGGCCATGAACACGGAGGTAAAGGTGCAGCAGCTCCCATGTCTTTTGCAGAAGGAGCACCACGGCAGGGGCAGGAGCAGGAGGGTGGGCAGGTGGGGGCCAGGCCAGCAGCCCCCTCCGAGCTCCCCCCGGGGTTCTGGGGCGTTGCCTGGTGTCAACTTTTCATGGACAGAATGCAGCCCTCTGGGCAGCGGCCGGGAAGGCCTCACAGGGTTGCAGGAGCTGTCGCCGCGTGTCCCGTGGGAGTGGGAGCCACAGCCTGTGAGGTGGGCTGGGGAGACCGATGACGCTGTGCAGAGACGGTGCCCAGGAGTACAGTTGCTGTCCTTGTCAGGGCTGCTGCAGACAGAAGCCGGGCGAGGGACACTGCCGTTCTTTCCACCCACAAGGAAAGAACTTGCCTGGATCAGCCAGGTGGGGCAGAGCTGTCACCAGGGGTGGAGGATGGTGCACAGGCTGGTGACACCATGCAGTCCTCTTGGAGCACTGGGGAATTTCCCCTCCCATCAGTCCTTGCTTGCAACAGGATGGGAGTTAGGGGTTAATTGTGTTTGCAGTGTAAACTGTTCTAGGTCAGTGGAGGAAATAGGAATTCTTTTGTGAAAAGCAGTCACTAATATGGAAGGCAACTCAGAGACTGTAGTCCAAACTCTCCTTATGCAAATGAGAATATTGAAGCTCAGAGAGGTTGAGTGACTAGCTGCAAGTCACACAGCTCATTGAGGGCAGAGCTGGCTCTCTGATTTAGCTGATTCCTCATACTCTGCCTTTTCCCTCAGCTTTCTTGTCCAAAAGAGCTTGCCACTCATAGGACTCCTAATGAATGACCCTCTCTGTGTAATTAGACGCAGCATAAACCTCAGTGCCGGCCCTTTCTTGGAAGTGCAGCTGATCTTGACTGAGCAGGAGGAGCATGTGGCCCACGCACCAGACTCCACCATCCTGCTCGGTGTGGCTCCTCTCTGTGAGATGCTTCCTCTGGTGGGTGGTGATCACGCCAGGTTATTTCGGCACAGCTGCAGGGTTTCAGGCGGAGGAGAGTGGCTGGATCTGGGCCCAGGGACCAGACCTGCCAAGCGGGCGGAGCCTCTGCAGCTGCTGTGCTGCTCCCAGGAGGCCGGTGCCGAGTGGACGGAAGGGCAGGGAAAGCTACCCAGCGCAGGAGACTGAGCCAGCCTCCCCTCCTCTCTGGGCACAGCCTGGTCACTGGGACTAAGGCACCGCAGGGCCTCTTGGAAGCAGGGCTGGTGCTCTTCAGTGCTCACAGGAAGGGCTGTGGGGACTACAGCCTGCTTGAGCCTCCCCACGTGCCCCAGTCCCATGTCTCTCTCCTTCCATGACACCCACGAGTGACGTGGTTAGCAGTGGCCTGGTCAGCTCTGTGCACGGCCACTCAGACAATGTACCCAAGATGTGCAAAGGCCCCTAACCAGGGCAGCTCTGTTCTCTGCCTTCCCTGTGCCTGTGCGTCTTGAATTCTTGGCTCCTTATAAATTAAGCTCTAGCAGAAGTGCTCCTCCATCCCCTTCCTCCCCTCCCGTACCCAGCTGTGGTTCCACCCTGCTTCCCGCCAGGCCCCAGGTAGATGTTGGACCTCACAGTGTCACATCCTCCTGTGCCAGGACGCCAGAGCGCCCGCTTGCTGCCCGCACGGTGCCTCAGGGGCCTCCTCGGCCTTGCGTCCGGACTCTGCTCTTCCCAATTGAGACTCAGCTCTGCTCGCTCCCCTGCGCACCCTGCTCCCAGCACCTGCAGAGGAGAGTGCTGAGACGGTGCCGAGCTGCATGGGTTCCCTGAGCAGCCTGCCTGCCCGGAGCCTCAGCTGCCCTGACTGTGAAGTGGGCCACGTGATAAATTCCTTGGTTTTCACGAAAGCCGAAGAAAAACACGCAGAGCCGCAGCCCACGCCTGACCTGAGCACTGTGCCCACAGCTGCTCACAGAGCCGAGCACCCGGCATGCAGCATGCAGCCACACAAGGCCACGGGAGCCTGCGTGCAACCAGGGGCCAAGCTGGCACCCTGACCTCCCCAGGGTGCCAGCACAGGGTAGTCTGGGTTGAGCCTGAAGGACTCGCCAGTGAAGGACTATATGGCACTTCCAGTGATGGCGTTCGATGGCCGATCAGGAAAGCTGGGACTTCTCACTTCTTGTCACAACCCCCTCCATCTGAGAGCCCTGTGCTGGGTGCCTGCATGCCCACTCCTCAGCCCTGGCTGGGGGGCAGGCTGGAGGGAAATGACCCTTGGTGTTGGCAGAGCTGTGCCAGATGTCTGCAGTCTCTGATTGTGCTCAGGCATTTGCAGCAACCCAGCAAGCAGATGCATTGGATCAGAGGCCTCACATGTGACCAAAAGACAGCGGCCTCTGGCACAGGCACTGCCCCTTCCCTTCCTAAAGAGAGTGGCGATGAAACGTGGCCACCTGTGAGAGGTGGTCCTGCCTGCCTCCTGCAGCTCCAAATCCAACAGCCCCTGGTCCTGGCCAGAGACGCCAGGCTGAGGGACAGCTGGCTGGGGGAGGGTGTGTGGCCGCCTCTGCCCACGCTTTGGGATTCTGTTGTTGTCTAATTTCATACCTAGAAAGTTGATTTTGAGTTCTGATGAAATCTCAGGCACTCTTGCCACGGCACTGAGAAGTTTCCTTTGGAATTTGGAGAGAAATAATCTGAAAACTTTAAACTGGAATTCAAGTTTTTAAGGTACAGCGGCACACCACCGTGATGTAAGTGGAGCAAACATCAGCAACAGCCTGAATTTCCTAGGGAAGGTTTGCCATGTCCGCAGTCCCCTGGAGTCTCAGCCTCTGGCTCTCACCCAGGGTCTGGCCTCCAGGCCCGGGCTGCACTGTGGTGCCCCTGGTGGTGAGCGTCTGCTCCAGCTCAAGGGTTCCTGGAGATGCTTTCCTTCCCACCCTGGTCTGACTTTGTCAGCCAGGCTGGGTGTTAGGTTGGAAGGGAAGGGTACTGGGGGAAGGGAGACTCGCTCTGGTTCCAAACCCTCTCCATGGGCTTTCTGCCATTTCCAGTCCTGGCCTCTTCTCTATGTCCCCACCCAGAAAATGAGAATTCGGGGCTCCCCTTTTAAGAAAGCGGGGAACCCTGGGCTGCACGGGGAGGCAGTTGCCAAACATGAACATTTTGCCATGGGGCTTCCTGTTTGTGGGGGGGGCTTCTCTGTTTTCTGGGTCTTTTTCTTTTCTTTTTTTCCCCCCTTTTTGAAACTGAATAAACCCAAGAAAGGTGTTAAAATGTGGCAGCTCCTGGGAAGTCTCGCTCCAGGTAGACGTGGCCCCACACAGGCATTCCCTGTGTGCCTGGGACATGGGGACTACACAGGACCAGGTGCCGGGCCAGGTCCTGTCTAGGAAGAAAACATTGCCACAGTTACCAAGAATACAAGGTCCAAGGCATGGCGAGGATGTGGGGAAAGGCACACTCACACATCACTGGTGGGACTGCAGATTGGTCCAACCACTCTGGAAAGCTGTGTGGAAATTCCTTAAAAAAACTAGGGATGGAATCACCATTTGACTCAGTTATTCCACTCCTCAGCATATACCCAAAGGACTTCAAATTAGCAAACTACAATGACACAACCACATCAGTTCACCATAGCTAAGCTCTGGAGCCAACCTAGGTGCCCTTCAACAGATGAATGGATAAAGAAAATGTGGTAGATATCCCCATGCAATATTACTCAGCCACAAAGAAGAATGACTATGACAGTCGCTGGTAAATGCAAGGATCTGGAGACTGTCATGCTAAGTGAAATAAGTCAATCCCCAAAACAAAGTTCAGATGTCTCTCTGATATGCAGATGCTAACCCACAACCAAGTGGGAGGAGATGGGAGTTCATTGGGTTAGACAAAAGAGAATGGAGAGAGGAAGGGGGGATGGGAATAGGAAAGACAGTAGAATAAATCTGACTAAACTTTCCTATGGACACGCCTCAGTGAATCTCCACATCATATACATTCACAAGACTGGGATTCTAATTAGAATAAGGCACATTCCATCTTTGCATAACTATGTCAAAATAGACTGTACTCTCACGTGTAACTCAAAAGAACAAATGAAATTTGAAAAACTTGAAAAAAAATAAGATTGCCAGAGGGCACGTGCCTCTCTCTCTCTGAGTGGTAGATGGGGCTCAGGGACCACTGCCCCTGCCCACCTCAAAGTGTCAAGCCCGGGAGGAAGCAGGCGCCCACACCACGAGTCCCCCCTTTGGAGCCATGGGCTTTCAGAAGGAGCCCTGTCCTTGCCATGAGCAGGCCATGGGGCCGCCTGTTCACTGCCAAATCCCCAGATGAACGTGTAGCCTCTGATTTCTCTGATCACGGTTCCATGCCACCTTCTGCATCTCAGCTGGGCCCCCACCTGACTGGCCTCTGAGACGTATCTGTCACATAGACTGGAGTCTCCGTGGCCGTGTTTGCTTGCCTCCTGCAGGTGTGGGGTCACCCGTCTCTCCAGGTCCCCCTGCGTGCGTCTCAGCCTCGGGTCCCTCCAGAGCACAGGCCCCGTGTGTTCTAGCAGCTCTGGCTGCAGAGTGACAGCACCCTGGAGCTCAGGGCTGATTCTCAACAGTCATCCTGTGCCTGTCACCCCCACGCCCAGGCAGCGGTCAGCTTGAGAGGAAGTCTTGCCATGAGCACTGTCCTATCCGTCCACAGGCTCTGGAGGCTCACAGCGCCCATACGAGTGATGTCCTTGCACAGAAATAGAAAGCACCCCCTAAGCCTTTGGAAAGGCATTTTGAAAACCACGATTAGAAAGGATTTGTGTTGTTTTCTTAACTCCTTTGAGCCAGGCCTTGTGTGCTTGAGCACGCGTGAGCGTCTTCGTGCGTGTGCATGCAGTGATGGTGGAGCGGCATGAGCAGGATCCGGGTTTTGTTTCTTTCCAGGCTGTTCGTCAGCATCTTATGAGCCCTTTGACTCAACTCTCTAGTCTTCAAGGAGGGGCAGCAGTTTCCCAGCATTTGGGGGGGCTGGAGGTCACAGCAACCCCTGGAGTCTCTTCCTCAGGCTTCGTTATTTCTAGAGAAATATATCTTGTGCTTATAACAACTGAAGGTTGTTCACGTCCCGTATTTGAGGAATTTCTCTTTTAAACAATGGGCTACTTCCTCGCAGGAGGCAGCGCCGAGCTGTGCGGAGGAGCAGCAGGAGCATTCCCGTGTGCACTGCGCCTCCTGGCTCCGGCCCCCGCCCCTCACAGCCGCATGCATCTCGAGCCAGCTGGAGGAGGGTGGGGAGCACTGTGTCCCTCACGGCCTGTGGCCGGGAGTGTCGTGCCCTCTGCTCTCCATCTCGATCCTGCTGGAATGTGTCCAGGGTCAGGAAGTGCCCACCTCCAGGGCCTCCTGTTACAAGTTTCCACTGTGTGTGCCCTCATGTTGCCCCCCTCCCGCCTTCCCACGGCTGCTACCCTGCTGTGGCACCTGCAGCTGTGTCCTTTTGCATGTCCTCCCTGTGGTGACGTGAAGGCAGCTTGTGTCCCCATTTCCTTCCAGCCATCCCAAGCCCAGGGGCTAAGCAACTGTCCCATCCTCTAGATGACTTCCAGATTCCCAAATAGACCTCAAGCGCCAGGACTTCTTCTGAGCACCCAGGACAGGAGACATCTGGATGTGGCTCTGCCGTCCTTGTGGGGGACTTGCCGTGTGATGTGCCAGCTCCTCCTGTTGAGCAGTTTGCGTTACAGCTCTGCCTGTGAGGGGTGTGTCCATGCACGCACGTCCCACGCCCGTCTTTCCTGGAGGCTGAGCTCCCGCGTCTCTTGCAGGCTACCTGAACGTGCTGTCCAACAACCGCTGGCGGGAGCGCTGGTGCAGGGTGAGGGACAACAAGCTCGTCCTCCACAAGGACAGGACTGACCTGAAGACCCACGTCGCGTCCATTCCCCTCCGTGGCTGTGAGGTGATCCCAGGCTTGGACTCCAAGCATCCGCTGACCTTCCGGCTGCTTCGCAATGGACAGGAGGTCGCCGTGCTGGAGGTACGGTGTTCTGGGGCTCGCCGTGGTTTCTCTTCCTTGTCCTTCCCAGCGTCCTCCCGTTGGGCAGGGCTGCCTTTCTGTGTCTGCACCCTCTTCTTCTCGGTGGCTCTGTCTACGATCCGGACAAGGCAGCAGCACAGAGCCAAGCTCTGCCGGTTGTGCAGCTCAGGCCTGTCCCCGGTGACTCCTTGTACATGTTTGCACAGAAATTAAACACAGAGCTCCGCAGAGTGGCTTTTCTCCTAAGTGGCCCAGGAATAACGTGTAAGATTTCTCTTAAAACCTTTTTCTTGTTAGGCGTGGTGGCGCATGCCTGTGATCCCAGCATCTCCAGAGGCTGAGGCAGGCGGATTGCGAGTTCAAAGCCAGTCTCAGCAACAGCAAGATGCTAAGCAACTCAGTGAGACCCTGTCCCTAAATAAAATACAAAATAGGGCTGGGGACGTGGCTTGGTGGTAGAGTGCCCCTGAGTTCAATCCCCGGTACCCGCCCAAAATAAACCTTTTTCTTCTGACAATGGGCTGCCTTTGCAATGGTAGTGTTGAACTTGTCCTTTAAAAATTCCTTGCAGAACAGGCATTTTGGGGCCACTTGTGGCCATGAAGACAGGGCCATGAGCCAGTGACACAGGAACCAAGAGCACCTTTGAGTTATAAATGGACTTTGTATGCATTTTATTATTTGTTTGACTCACCAACAAATGATATTTATCCATTTACCAAAAGCAGAAAAACATAATTAAAATAATACCTACATCCTCAAAATGTTCATTTCTGAAAAAATTTGTTTTTCCTCTTGTTACATTGACTTATTTTCTACCCCGATTGGTTCAGACCTCGTTCCCCTTATTCCCCCGCTGGCGTCATCACAGCGAGAGTCCTGCGCTGGGGAGGGGGCCACCCGGGCACATCGGTGTGCCTGTGCCAAGGGTGTCGAGGTGCAGGATTTCCAGAGTCTGGGTAAGCGTGTCTGTTGGTCAGGAGCAGTGAGGCTGCCTCGGGCCTGCAGAGGGGCTGGGGGTGCCAAACGGGGTGCCAAAGCCTAAGTGGCTAGTCGGGATACGGGCCAGGAGCAGGAGTAAGGTGCCCCGTCAGGCGGTCGGCATGTACCTGAACTTCAGGTGGAGTTGGTTTCAGGGACTGTTTTCACAGAAACTGCTGTATTTTTTTGGCACTGGTCAGAAACAGATGGATCGTGGTTTCTTGCCACAGGTTCAGTTGCCCCTAGTTTGAGCAGGACAGGTCAGGAGGCCTGGCTGCGCCCACTGCTGGCCACTCCTGCAGACAGGCTTTATCCCTCAGGAGGCAGGTCCCGTCCTCGCTGCTCCTCGGACCTTGAGCCTGCGTGGGCTGTTCTCTGTGGGTCTGCAGAACGTCGGTGCCCCCGTAAGCACAATGTGGTCTGAAGCCTGTCGGGTGGTGGCGGTCCATAGAAGCTGAAAACAGGCCAGGAGGCCATCTTCCCAGGGTCGGGATGTGGGTCTCCTCCGAGCTCTGGCAGCAGTCCCAGGGTGGTGGCACTGGACCCTGAGCAGAGTGAGAAGCTGGGCTCCGTGTCCAGTGGAGGGGGCCTGGATGGGTGGGGCCGAGTCCCGGGGTTGGTGAGCAGCCCCTCTGCAGGCCCTGAGAGAAGCCAGGTGGCACACCTTCCAGATGTGCAGGCTCTGGAGGAGGCTCAGTGCTTGAGAAGCAGGAGGGACTGAGTCCCCAGCATGAGGGCAAGAATGTGAAGTCTTAGCAGTATCACTTAGAGTGACGGGAGCAAAGCGCCACAGCACCCCAGGAGGAGCAGCCGGCCCTGCCTTCGCCAGTCACCAGCTGCAGGCCAGCCTGCGAGGCGGCACTGCGCTCCTCCAGGGCCACTTCCTTCTGTGTTGAGGTAACTCCGGGTTTGCCGCGGCGTTGCAGGAGCAGCACAGAGTGCCCGAGTACCTTCCACCCAGTCTTCTGTCCGTGTATGGGGTCTTGGGAAGCCTCCGTAGCCACCCCTTTATCTGTGAGTGCTTGACTGTGTGTTTGCCAAAACCAAGGGCCATCTGCCTCCGAGCAACAGAATGACTCTGAGATCAGGAACCGGCTGCACACAGACCTCCCGTCCGACTCCTAGACCTCAGTCGGACTTTCCCAGCAGCTCTGATGTTTGAGGGGCAGAAGGAAGTCCACCTGCACCCGCTGTCCGGGTCCAGCCCCCGACTGCTCTCACCACGGTAGGGCTTTTGCAGGGCACACGGTTGTCGCGAAGCAGGTCCCTCCTGTGAGGCATGCCTGCTGCCGCCTTGTATAGGAATAGGGGCCCTCCTTGGCAGGAGCCCTTGGAAGTGGCGACATCCCACAGTGTGTCCCATCAGGACCGGCTCACCAGGTCTCAGCCCTGGGTTCATGTGACCCGTGTAGGGCTCCCTCTCGTGAGATACTGCCATTTTCCTTTGTCTTCACTAATTATCACGTGGGAAGGTTCTCTGAGGCGTGTGACTGTGCTGTTATTAGTGGATTTCACCCACTAATCTTAGAATCTGCTAATGACTTGCCTGAAACAGTCATTATAACGACAGTTGCTAAATGGTGAGTTTTCAGTTCCATTGTTCCTTCTGGATTTCCCCTTACTCCAACTCATTCATTACTCATTCATTCAGCTACCTTGCTGTGTGGGTGGCCATTCATAGACTGCTCTTCATTGGCTTGTTTACTTGTCTGATTTGCTTGGATGGTGCTGGGATCCAGCCAGGGCCTGGAGCCTGGTAGGCAGGTGCCCTACTGCTAAGCCATGCCCAGCCCCACAGACTGTTACTTTAATTAGCCATGGTAGTCCTTTTTTATCATGATTAGTTTTGGTCAAATGCCCTGCACGCTGGCTCCTGTGTCCTTTGCTGTGCCCCTGTAATGGAGACGGTGATCCCCGCCATCCTGGGCCACTTTCTGTGTGTTGCAGCAGGGGGTGGTGCTTTCCCTGCCCAGGTGGCACATCCCTACAGAGGCCTCAGTGCCTCCTAGTGGAGGGGAGTGTGAGGAAGCCAGGGCTGTGGCCGGGCGGGCTCGCTGCTATGGGCCCTACTATTTCTGGGCCCTTGAGTAGGCACACTCAGGAAATAGGTGCATGCGCAGATCATAAACACACACATTCATACATGTTTATGTGATACATTGACTTATTTTCTACCCCGATTGGTTCAGACCTTGTTCCCCTCATTCCCCCGCTGGCGTCGTCACAGCGAGAGCCCTACGCTGGGGAGGGGGCCACCCGGGCACTGCTCACACATCTACACACACATGCCCAGAACCACGCACCTACATGTACATCTGATCTATTATTTTAACCGGTGAGATCATGACTAGTACCTCCGATTCCAGTCCAGTACCACAGGGTTATAACTATGAAGAAAATGATGAGTGAACCATAGTGTAACTAACAGTACCTGTCACCCCTAGACATGTGTTGAAGGACTTGGCAGCACCTCTGTGAAATACAGGGAGTGGCTAGAGAGTGGCCGAGGCCACCTTGTTGCCAGTGGTGGAGCCAGGGCTGGCAGGCTAAGGTGAGCTCTCCCACCAGCTGCCCCTCCGCCCAGCGCCCGCTCTTCCTTGGTTTTTTAGAAATTTTGTTTTAGTTGATGGACCTTTATTTTATTTGTTGATATGTAGTGATGAGAATCGAACCTGGTGCCTCCCACATGCTAGGCATGTGCTCCACCGGAGCCCCCGCCCCGCCCCGCGCCAGTGCTTTCTTGATATAGATTTTGTTTGGAGAAAGACTAAAGACCTACAAAGAGAATGAACCGCGGTGTTGGAGTCAGTTGATCTTCATCCACTAAGCACTGAGCACCGTCTCTAACACATAGCTGGAGTTCCTTCACTTTTCCTAACGGCCTCTCTGGTCCTGGTCAGGAATGATTTGTTGTGTGGAAAACATCAGTTACCAGTCAACATGATCAATTTCCAAAACACCTTCTTCTTTACTAATGGCTTTTCCTCCAGAGAGGTTTTTGTTTGTGGTGTGGAATATAATTATAAAACCCAAGCTTCTTTAAGCTCAATTTATAGGTCTTCATTTAAAAAAATAATTTTTAGATTTCTTTTTAAATGAAGCATGGTGGTTCATGCCTATAATGCTAGAGGCTTGGGAGGCTGAAGCAGGAGGTTCACAAGTTCAAGGCCAGCCTCAGAAACTAAGCAAGGCCTTAAGCAATATAGTGAGACCCTGTCTCAAAATAAAAACTAAAAAGAGCTAGTGATATGCCTCAGTGATTAAGTGCTCCTGAGTTCAAGTTCTAGTACCGAATAATAACAATAATAAAATAATAGTAGGGGCTGGGATTGTGGCTCAGGGGTAGAGCGCTCGCCTAGCACATGCAAGGCCCTGGGTTCGATCCTCAGCACCACATTAAATAAATAAATAAATAAAATAAAGATATTGTGTTCAATGACAACTAAAAAATATAAAAAAATAATAATTACCATTATTTATTAAAAAAAACATTTTTTCTTTAACATTCAGTTAACTCATAAGGTTTTGTTTGTTTGTTTTGGGCAGTACTGGGAATTGAACCAAGGGGCTTTCTATCACTGAGCTACATTCCTTTTATTTTTTTTAAATTTTGAGATAAGGCCTCACTAGGTTGCTGAGGTTGGCTTCCAAGTAACCTGGATTACAGGTGTGTGCCACTGTTACGGAGATGGGGCCTTTTGAGAAACTGAGGCAGTGTGAAGACCCCTTCTTAACGCCCTGATTCTTGCCATCAAGTCAGAAAGATTTCAGACATTCACTCAGAGTAGCAGGCCTGAGTGTACTGAAGGGGTAGGAAAAGGGAAAGGGGAGGGTCCTTTCAGAGAGGAGAGGGACAGTGTGCTTCTCCTGCTCTCCAGTTGGTTGGGTCCCAGGGAAGTTTCCAGAGCGGCCTGCCCAGGTCCTCCTCGACTTTTAACTGACAGCAGGATGACATCAGACTTTCCAGTTCCCCTGTCAGCAGCTCTAGGTCACCACCTGGTCACGCTGAACAGTTCTGAGTGGATTCTTACCAGTTACACATTCTTACCAGTTTATGGTTAGGAGGCTCTATCCTTATCTCCCTGAGTTTCAGGATCAGGTCACAAAAATCTGGGTCTCTCCCATTGACATCCCGCAGTTGACAGGTAGTTTGCTAAGGAATGTGATATATCCGGTCCATGAGCCAGGCAGGGCTGCAGATAAATTGCTTCTTAGAAAAGAAAGCATGTGGGGATCCGCACAGCAGGCCCATGTTATAGGATTATTCTCTTAACCTCCTGTCTGTCCCTAACACCACGGTACCTGGCTCTAGTCAACTCATAAATTTAATACTGAACTCTCCCTAAGCTTTAGATATTCTGACATATTTAATTAGTCAAATTTTATTTAAAAATGTAACATAACTGATTTTCTAAATTGCTCAACAAGGATAACTTAAATTTTTAATGAGTATAAACTTGAAAATATATTTCATTCTTACAGATTAAGCAGTTCAGGTGGGGGTGGGGATTGCAAACGTCTTACAAATGGCACATCAGTATAGCCTGGCAGCTGCAAAACAGTGTGACACTGCGAAACAGTCGGCCATAAAGTGGGTTGAGTTTTAAACCCTCTAGTCCAGAGACCCAGACCACTCCAGGCCACGGGAGCTGGAGGGCAAGGGGCAGAGCCTGCCTGTGCCATCCACGAGGCTCTGGAACCCCTCCCTTTAGCTGGGACTGACTTGAGTCACGTCCCTCTCCACGTCGTGACACCTGGCCTTTCGCCCAAGTAAGCAGGAGCACTTCAGGACCAGCCTGCTGCCTGCCCTCTACGGCTGTTTTGGAAGCCCTGTTTAAAGGTGGCCTGAAGGCTGCGCCAGGCGTCCCTTGGGTGGAGACTCGGTCGGTGCTCCTTCACACTCTGCCTTTGGTACTTGGTGTTGCCTTGCCTTCCTGTCCTGTGGTCTCTGTGGATGCAGTTTTCAGAATGGAGGAAGGGTTCACCTTCAGTTCAGTGAAGTGCTTTTCCTCCCCTGCAGGCCTCTTCTTCTGAAGACATGGGCAGGTGGATTGGGGTCCTGCTGGCTGAGACGGGGTCGTCGACAGACCCGGGAGCTCTGCACTACGACTACATAGATGTGGAGATGTCTGCAAACATCATTCAGACGGCCAAGCAGACCTTCTGGTAAGACCCCGCCTGCGGATGGTGCTGGAGCTAAGCGGCTGCCTTCCCTCCTCTTCCCCTCCACCTGGGCTGCCTGAGTGTGAAGACCAACAAACGCACGCCCTGAGGCGCGCTCTCTTTTACTATGGTAACCCTGATTTTTCTGGGCATTTTTGTCATTTTAACCCTCTGGGACTTCTGCTGGAACAAGGGTCAGCAAACTTGGATAAAGGACAGCATGGTAAATGGTTCTGACTCTGTGGGCCCCTCAGCTCTGCCTTTGTAGCCAGAGCTGATACACCAGTGAATGGGGAGGCTGTGCCACCCACAGAACGATTGCAGAAATAGTCAGCAGGCTGGGTCTGGCCTGTGGGCCTTCTGCGGACCCCTGTGTGGGTTCTCTCCACAGAACTGACTCTGCATCACTGGAATGAAGACCAGGATATAAAGCCCTCACTCCAGTGCTTTATGTAAATTCAAATTCTGATTTTATCTGAAGTCTAAATCCTGTTTTTAAAGAAGTGCCGTTCTGTGCTGAGAAGTTCTTCTGAACCCTGAGTATTTCCTTGACACAGTGATGGCAAGGAGCTCAGTAGCGGCAGTTCTGGGTGTGCGTCCAGGCAACCGCAAGGCTGCAGAGACTCTCCTAACAGTGCGGAGCCGTGCCTGTCCTCCCACGCTGCTGTCACATGGGCTGGTGATGTAGAGACAAAGGCTGCGGGCAGGCAGCTCCTCTGCACTGTGCTCTCGGCGTCCGTCCCTGCCCCTTCCTTGCTCAGCCAAGGAGATACTGGGTTCCCTTAGTGTGTCCTTCTCTGTAAGGCCAGCTGGGAGACCGTGAGCTCCTGTCTCTGATGCCAGGGCTGCGCTGGGAGGACCTGTGGGGCCACGATGCCGAGCCCTATGGTGGGCTCCAGGGGGCGCTCTTCTCCAGCAGAGTTGCCAGTGGATGGCTGCCTTTTAAAACTTTGTCATTTTTCTTGAAAAGGCAGTAGGCAGGCCACCGTGACTTGCAGACGTGGCACTGCAGGCATCACCCCAGGATCAGGTGGTAGCACATGGCCGAGACATGCCCTTGCACATTCTACCTGGCCGTGAGCTCAGTGGCTTTTAAGTAGGCAGGAACCCTTCTAAAGAGATAGTAGCAAAACCCGGTGTGATAGTTTTGGTGGTTTTGAACAGTAAAGTGTTACCAGTTGAAAGAGCTTCATGAGGGATGCCAGGCGAGAGGCCACCCATGTGCAAGACGAGCCAGTGCCCTTGGTGTCAGGGCGGTGGGTCTCCTGATGGCATGATTTCTGTTCCACAGAGGGAGAAAGGTAATAATATATTTTGGAAAAGGGCCAGAAAAGAAAAAAATACCAGAGTCTCCCAGAAGATGCATCCCCAGGACTGTTAGGGATGGTAAAGGGCTGGGGCGTTTCCCCTGAGGGCCTAGTTTCAAGTGAGACTTATGGACTGAACGACGCAAAGGACATGTTGGGAAGTTTTCTCCTGAACCTGTTGCAAAGTGTGCCTGGTCACAGACCCCCGGATGGCTGTCCCGAGGTGAGGTTGAGTGCAGCAGAGGGGAGCAGCCGCCCGGGGAGCTATCCTCTGCAGGCGCCTTCTCCGGGTTCCTGCATGCTGTGTCCTGATATTTCCTATGGGCTTTGCTCCCTTCCACTTTATATATGGCTGAAAATCATCACAGAAAGAGGAGTGACCAAAGACGTGGTCCTAATGCCTGTCCTTGGCCCCATGTGCTGTTTGGCCTGGAGTTTGCTCCCTGACCCAGGTCCCTCTCTGTAACTTTGGGGGGACTGTCCAGTGGAGGAGGTCTCTGCCACCTGGGACACTCTGTGTCTGTGACCTTGAGTTCGGACACTCCCCGTCCTGCCAAGGGCTTCGTAAACCATCCTGTGGGTGTCTCCTCATTCAAGGAAGGAGGGCTGCTGTCCTCCTATTATCTGTGCTGGCAGGGCGCCAGAGGCCAAAGCCACAGACCAGTAGGAGAGCCCCTGCCATGAGGGGGACACTCATACTTGTCACTGAGTCAGCGTGCAGCTGTGCACATGCAGCTGGGCTTCACGCCACCTGGCACCACTGTGTTGTCCCCAGTCACAGGAAGTGTCCAGATCACCTTGACATGGTCAGACCTCAAGGGAGGCATTCCAGTGAGAGATCCTTCAATGTGTGCTTAAAAGTCACATCTGCCCTTGCAGATCTCCTAGATTTTTGTATTTTTCTCTTTCTATGCATTGTATTTTCCTACATTCACTTATGTGTATTTTAAGTATAGATTACTTGTATCAGTTTTTTATGAGTGAAGGAAAAAGACAGGTTAGGTTTCCTGGAGAGAGCCTGTGTGCTGGCAGGTGTGCGTCCAGGCGGCCACAAGGTCACAGCGATTTTCTGAACAGTGGTAAGCCGTGGCTTTCCTCCCACGCTGCTTTCACACAGGCTGGTGATGCAATGGCTGCCTTTTTCCCAGCAGAGGGCAGCCACGTTCCGCGAGGGGGACCCACGGGCCTGGGCAGTTCCCCACCGGCCTCGGAACTTGCAGCCTAGTTGGCTTGGGAGGCACTTTCCTTAACCCTGAATTTCTCCTGCTATTTTTCATCTGGTGACCATAGAAGCGCAAGATCCTATGAAGAAAAAAAAATTTGGAAATAAAATCCCTTTTTAAAACTAGGCTGGTTTAAGTTTCCCGATTAGGAGCAGATGCTCTCGAGCTTGTCTTTCCCAGGCACTTAGGTTTCTGCTAGAACAAGCAGCCTCTTGAGAGGCCAGCCTCAGTCAGCACAGCTTGCCAACACCCTGTGTGTCTCTGGAGTGCCCAGATTGACAAGGCCACGTTCCCCCAGATCTGGTCCTCTAGTGGCGAGAAGCAGCTGATAAACCAGTAAACACCATAGCAGGCCAGATGGTGGAGAGAGGGAGGAGGAAGGGGGTGGAGGGGGTTCGTGGTGCTGTGGTGGGACGTGGTACAGGTGGCCCACACAGGCAGGCCCGTGAGCCATCTGAGAGGAGCTCCTAGGCAGAAGGGCCACAGTGACTCTGAGGCCAAAGGTGCCTGGGGAGCGGAGAGCAGTTGGCGCCCCCGAGGCTGGGAAGGCGGGGAGGGAGACAGGGCAAGACCTGTGCTGCCTCCTTCTCAGGGAAGCACTTTGGACTTTCTTGGGCAACTTTGGAGCCCTGAGTGGACTGGACACTGACACACGTCTGGTCTGCGTCCTTTTCCCACGCCCTAGGTGCTCTCACTCTGCCCCTTGGCTGCCAAGTGTGAGTGCCCTTCCTGGGCCAGGCAGCTCTCCTTTACTCTTTGGACGCTGGCTGGGCGTCCTGCAGTGTGCTCAAGTCTGGCAGTGTCACCTGGACACAGTAAAGGCCCTGTGGGTGAGGGCTCCAGCCCCAGGACCACACCATAGGGAATGTCATTCAGAATTCAGACTGTCCTGGTCCTTTGACAGTCCAGCGGTGATCTGAGGCTCTGCAAGCCAGCTCTGGCCCCACTGTTTATTAGAAGGCCAGCTCCAGTGCACTGACTGGTTCACTTGTGTGTCCTGAGAGGCTGCAGCCCGGAGCAGCCACACAGCACGGCAGAGGGCTCCATGCCCGCCCTGTACGCCCAGCCCCAGCCCTCGGCTGCTCTCCAGCTGGACAGGACTGTTCTGCCCTGGGGGCTGGGAGCTCCAACCTGGGCTCCTGTGACTGTTCTTTTGGTGACTGCCTCCGTCCTCCAGGTGCTCCAGAGGTCTCTCATTTACAGAACCTCAGGGGCTGTGAAGGGCTCGTGACTAATAAAAGGTGGCCTTTTCCTTTCTCTTGTCACTCAGGAGTTCCATGGTTATAGAAGCTCTGGCCAGGAATGGGGACAAAGTCCCCAGCATATGTTTTCCCACATGGCATCTTCTGAAGGTTGTTGTGGCCACCACCAGGGCCTGGGAAGGTCAGGGCCAAGCGAAGGCATGCTGTGCAGTGGTGGGGATAGAGCACGTCTCGGAACAGCATGTGGGGAGCCTAGAAAGCAGTCCCTGGGCTTCTTCCAGAAACAGGCAGGTGGTGTCTCAGCTCTGCAGGCCCTGTGGTCCTCCGCCCTTGAGAGATCAGGGACTGCAGATGGCATGTCCACAGAGCCTCCAGCTGGCTCCCAGTACGGCTTTCTTTTCAGCTGTGCAGGGCTGGCCCGACTCACGGAGAGGACGGTTGTTGTTGGGTGAACCTGTGCACTCACCACCACTGGCCCTCGCCACAGGTGTGTCAGATGGGCCCCTCCTGACTATGCAGGCGAGGGCTCGGCCCAGCCCTGCAGGTGACGTCCTGCCTCTGCCTGGGCCTTCTGAGGCCCCTCAGCCCCTGAGTGCTGGCTGCAGCTGGGAGGGAAACAGGCAGACGGGGGTGTTCACGCTACCTTCTCTCTCAGCTTCATGAACAGGCGTGGGGTGTCCACCAGCCCCTACCTAGGGAGCACCTCCAATGGATACGCTCACCCCAGTGGGACAGCCCTGCATTACGATGACGTCCCCTGCATCAACGGCTCGGTGAGTGTGCCCTGAGAGTCCACGGTTGGTTTTGTCAGAGGCAAGGCCGTCTGGGGAGTTCTGGCCTAGAGTGGCCTGGCCTCCTTCTTTCCTATTTCCTCTTCCTGCCCCCTCTCCCCTCCCCGTTGCTCAGAGTCTCCTGGTGAGCGGGTTCTGTTCGGGCAAAAGGAAGTGAGTCGATCTTGTCCCTGTCCTCAAGGGCCCCAGTCTAGTGTAGGGAGACCTACGACTGAAGCAGGAGCTGGGGCTGATGGCTGGGCCCAGGCCCATCTAGGACCGGGTGTCGCAGGGTGAGCAGAGCCCACTTGGCACAGCCCCATCATGGCGAGTTGGGTCGGTCAGTCCCCCTTGCCCTGTTCCTACGCCCTGGACTTCAGCCTTTGGGGACTCCTGCTGTCAACTCTAACCTCTGCCCTCCTGCCCTGTGGGCAGGCCTGTGCCAACCTTAGGAGCCACACAGTGGTAACCATGACAGGGTGAGGCTCTAGCTTAGGCTGCTGTATCATATCAAGGTGGGACCTCAGCTCCTGTGGCCTCCATTGGCCCTGTGTGGTCAATAGTGTCTCTTGGCACAATGGACTTGTCCCTGGTTCTGGGCTTTGGTGTCCAAACTGTCCTCTTGAGGGTGGGCCATTTCTCTGAGTCTCTGGACTCGGCCTCCAGCTTTTCTGGAAGGACAGTGCCCACCCTGTCTCCCGAGCCCCCGGCACGGCCCCTCACGCACCCTTCTCTCGAATGTTTCTCATGTGTGTGCCCTGCACATGAAAGTGTGAGGCGAGCGGAGGCGGAGGTCCCCGGGACTGCGCGGTGCCCCCTGTCTCCACCATTCCCGCAGGCTCGTTGCTGGGTGGGGGTGACAGCAAGCTCCTGAGGGCATCGCAGCTTCACCTCCTGAGGGCCAGCCTTCCTTCCCAGGATCTACATGCCTAGGCGCTGTGCCCAGGTCCCTCCTGGGCTGACAGCAGGAACTTCTGAGGCAGCGTCCTGCGGCCTCTCTGCTTACTAAAGCTTCCTCTGCTCCCGCCTTTAACCTGCTTTTCTGCTGCTGGTGATTTCCTTTTCAGAAGGCTCCACAGAGTTCAAACCCAATACTCGGCCACTTCAGTGGCTCTTATCCTGCATCCCCTCAGTGTTTGTTCAGTTTTAATCTAGAAACTTCTCTGGGTTTCTGCAGTTGATATTTCCTTAAGTCTTCTGTATGACTTAATGCTTGGTATTTTAAGAAAATGATATTCTAGTCTAGACCATTTAATAATTCTGGACAAATATAAATCTATGCTAGTTTGTCTTTATCAAATGCTCATATCCAAGTTGATCTGCATTATTTTTAGATTGTGCATAGGTCCCTGCATCACAGAAATAGACACACTGAAGTGACTGCAAAGGGATATAAACACTCCCACTGTGGAATTTAAATCTTTGCTATTTTTATAACAAAAGGCTGTAATTACCGTCTGGCAGAAAGGAACTCTGCAGGAAGATCATAAAAACAGGGTAAAATGAGCAGAACATGTGAATTATTATTTCCCTTTTTAAAATTGCAAGGCAATTTATACAGACCGTTAGGACTTGGGAGGGCCCAACAGGGTTTAGTTTGGGTGTTTATTTATACTTCAGTGTCCGTGCTCTAGATGTCTCTGTCCCATGAGGTGGCTTGTCCCTGTTTGAGTCCTTTGTTCCAGGTGTCTGCTAAACACCGTGGTCTTCGTCAGGTTCTGAAGCACCTGTTTTCTGTGCAGCCACTCCCTTTCTAAGGGACTGTTTTGCTTATGGCACTTTCTTCAGGCATAACAGCATTGGCACCTTGGTGCCTGTAGACAGTGACCGTGACCTGAGGTCCTCGGCCTGGTAGGGCAAGCGTGGAGCAGCCTGGTGGTCTCAGTTCCAGCCCTCGTCCCCCAGGAGAGCTCAAGGCTCATCAGTGCTGTGGCATACAGCCACGAGCGGCCCCAAGTCCAGCTCTGCCTCCAAGTAGCTGTGACCGGCCTCTGGCTGGGCTTCCCCTACTTCCTCAGGTGGGCAGAGGCCAGGGCAGCCTGTGTGTGTGTGTAGGGAAGGAGCCCGGCGCGGCTCTCACGCCTTTTCGGGGCAGTGTCCATTCCTCCCTTCCTGCCACGTCCAGGTCCTGCATTAGGGGACTTCCAAACTCCAGTCTTCTAAAGAAGGAAGTTTCCAAGCAGTGTTTTCTTTTCTGCCTGAAGAAAAAAACAAAATGTCATAAACTAATGGTGCTGGGAAGGATTTAAGGAGAAAGAAACCTTCCTTCCCTAAAACCCTAGAAGTAAAGGGATTCTTTTGAGTGTGTCCACCTGCTTGTGTGTGGGGGTGCTGTATTGGCAACACCTGTGTCTCGGGGTGTGCTATCTCGCTGTGCTAAAGTCTGCTCTCTCTCCTGTGTCTGGGTCACTAACGACAGAGCTGTGTGTTCCAGTGGGACCCGGACGACGGCTTCCCCGCCTCCGGTAGCAGAGGCCCAGGCGAAGAGGCGCTCTATGATAACGAGGGCCTCTACGATAACCTGCCGTCTCCGAAAATCTTTGCTCGCTCCTGTCCTGCTGACAGAAGGGCCTCCAGGCTGTCCGCTGACAAGCTGTCCTCTAACCTCTGCAAGGCCCCCACCTCCTGCGGCCCACCCTGCTCTCCGTCTCTCACTAACACCTCTGCTGTGGGGAGGGCGTCTCTCGGGCTGCACTCCCAGGTACTGCACCACACCCCCGGTCCCCAGGGTCACCCCGCAGCCAGCCCTGCAGCCAGCTCCCGCCCCCTAGGGCACAAAGCGTGGGCGTTTCCTCCACTAGAGCCTAGTCTGCAGTGCGGCCCCAGGAGCAGTGAGCAGTGCTGGCTAGTGCTCAGGGCATTGAGGCTCTCTTTCCACTCTTGGAAAAGCTCCAGTGAATTTTGAGAATCATGTCAACAAAAGACAAAGGTTCGGGGAAGGACAGGGCAGCCAAGCTTTCCAGATTCTTGACTCGAAGCTTCAGTAGTATCCTGTGCTGCATAAACGAGCAGGGGTCCGCTCTGGCTTTTGACCTTGGCATGGATGGGTGCTGTTCAAGCGCCGTGTGTGTCCCGGCGTGAATGTGAGGCCTGCTCCTGCAGCCAGCAGCGGGGACCACTGCTTGATAAGCAGCCTGGAGGCTGAGCGCCGCCCACGCCACACTCTGTCTGCGGCAAGGCAGTGCTGCAGGGCAGGTGCTGCGTGGTGTGCATTCCCAGCCTAAAGTCTCCTCTGCTTTCCCTGGAGACCTGAGCACCCATTAAGAGAACTCTGCTCACATAAAGCAAGTACGGGGCGAGCTATGCATCCTCTCCGCCCTGGTCCTGAGGGTGACCTTAAGAAATGATGGGACCAGGTAAGGGTCGAGGATTTCAGACAGTGGTGCTCAGACAGACACCTCCCAAGGGACTAGCTCATCAAACTCCCCAAGGAAACGTTTTGGCCACCAACGACACGTGCCCAGATGGCCTCCTGGAGATTCCGACTCCGGGAGTCTGAGCGTCCAGTGTGTGAGCACCATGGTCCTCCACTATTTTCATGAGTACTTGTGCCAAAAATCTGGTCAACATGTTTCATTTACTAAGTGAAACTTACCTATGCATGTATTTATCTGCTTTGTGTTGTCATTGGAGTTCCCTGAGGTAAAAACAGGCAATGAAACATGCTATCTGCATACTCGGACTGTCTCCGTGTTGGGGACCATTTGGTGCATGGTCAGCGTGTGGAGCTTTCACATTGTTGTTGTTCAAACTCTTGTTTCAAGTGAGCCTTGCACTATAAGTCAAAAGAGTACCCCATTTCCCTCCCTCACTTGCCCACGGTAGGGGAAGCCTTCTGTCCCCTGGCAAGACCGTGCACCAGCTGCCGTGCGGCTGTGCTGTGTCGTTCAAACTTTTGGGAGCCCAGCAGGGAGGTGTCCATACCTTTTTATGTTCTTGAGTGATCAAACAGAGGCTCAGAAAGCTTTAGTGGCTTGCTCAGCTTCTCTTCAATGACGGGGCCTCCCCACGCCCAGGCCCATGGCAGCAGGCGAGGTGGCACAGTAGAAAGCAAGGGCCGGCGTACAGCTGACTGTCACATAAGGAGTCAGGCCTCAGTGGCATGGCATCACCTCTGCCAAACAGATTCCTTTGGCCTGCAGCAGTTGAAGAAGTGGGGCACTGTTCAGTTTTTTTTAAAAAAAATTTGTAGCTGGTCAAATTTATTTTCTGTGTTACTCAGACTGTTTCTACACTATGTGTCATTTGCCTCCCCACCAGTGACTCAGAAGGCAGTCATCTGTCCTATTAGACTGTCACTCAGTTAAGAGTCCTTGAAGCAGAAACCTAGCAGTGTAGTCATGCTCCCACCCTAAAAAGTACCTGCTTTGGAAACAGGCTTCAGTGGCCCCAGCTGAAGGCCATACCCGTTTCTCAGCAGTGGGCTTGGTCCCAGTGAGGCCAGAGCTGCCCAGCATTCCCGCCCACTTCCTGGAGGACCCTCTGGCCTCCCTAGCTGTCCCAGGAAGCCACATGGTCTGGAGTCTGAAGCCAAGTCGGTCTCCTCACCACCTTTTTCTCTGACCGAGCTGGGTTTCACAGAGTCAGAGAGCCAGAGAAATTTCCTTAGGAAAGAAATAGGGCTTTTTTTTTTGTTTTGTTTTTTTATTTTCTGTTTATTTCAACAGCTCAAGGGGAAGAAGCCCCCCGTGGCATCTAATGGGGTTCCTGGGAAAGGGAAGGCTCCCAGCAGTCAGCAGAAAAAAGTGGATTCTGCAGCCAGCGTGAGACGGACGGCTTCAAGTGAGTTTCCACCAGATTCTCTGCTTTCTGATTCTGACTGCAGCTTGGGTAGTGGAGAGTGTCTGGGCTGCTCACATGGCAAGCGTCAGCTTGGAAGTCTGTTGGAGAGAGGGGACAGTGTGCAGCCTGTCCTTCCCTTGCTGGGTGGGAGCTGGCAAGGACCTCTTACCCATGCCCCAGGACCTTTGCATGCCTGAGGAGCACAGAGCTGCCTGCCATGTCAGCAGGCACTTGTGGGTGCAACTGCCTTGTCCCTGGACTTTGGGTCAGGAGACCTTGGTTGGAGTCCCCTTCCTCACGTGCAGCTGGTCCATTGTGTGCACTCTCTGGACACAGCCCGCCCGTCTGCCAGGCCCAGTCAGGGGCAGCTGTGGCCGCTGCAGGGAAAGAGCAGAGCTGGTGCCTGTGCTTGAGTAATGGAGCAGCCCAAGGACCCCGGGCTGTCGTCTCTGGTGGTCCTGGACCGCGACAAGCTGTTCCTGATGTCACCTGCTGATCTCTCAGAGCCTCGTTATCAGGGTGGGTTTGTTCGCCTACCATACTTTCCAAATGAGAAAAGAATCTGGGAGCAGTACAGGAATCTCCGGATCTCTCGCGATGGGTGACGGAGCCCAAGTGAGAACCAGGCTTTGGGACAGCAGGTGATCTGGAAGCAGACAGGGCAGAGGCCTGTGAGGCAGGAGCCGGCGCAGCATGCCCGAGACAGACCTGCTTTCTTGTCTCCACGTGGAGGAACCTGGGCGGCATCGCCGTCTCTGGTTTGCACTTGCCCTCGCCCTTCTCGTAACGGGCGTCTGAGGGCCAGCTGGCCAGCCGGGCAGCATTTATTGCCTTGGGTACTGCAGCTACGGCTGAGGACGCAGAGAAGTGGAGCTCCGAGCCAGCTGGCCTGTCAGAAAAGGTTTGCTGTCACGTGTGCCACCCTTCCTTAGGGCTTGTAGCTGAGCTTTCGAAGCTGGAACAGTGGAGCTGGGGGAGCGGTCACCCCAGAGATCAAGGCTCCGCCCCACACAGAGCAGAGCCTGCCTCGCCCCTGGCTGCTCTGCCGCGGGAAGCCTGTGCCCTCTCCAGGGGGCTCTTCTGCTGTTCCCTCCAGACCTACATCCTGCTCCTCGGGACCTGCTCTGTCCACCCGCGTGCTGACTGGGCCTTGCCCTCTGGCAAGTCTGCTTTCACTGATGTGTGGGGCGGCATCCACACTCCACTGCAGTGCTGCTCCCCAGGGGGAGGAAGGCACCGCGACGCTCCACCGAGAAGGGCCTGGCGCGCAGTCTCCTTGAGCTCAGCACTTCGATGCTCCCTGTGGGTTCTGCTCCCTGCGTGGCTCACCCGTTGTTTTGTGAGAACTTTTAGGAATTTTTATTAACTTTGGTGACATCTAATGTTGACAAAAGAAAAATAATAGCATCTGTCTTGGCTGGATTTGGCCTGTTGCCTTTAGGTTGTAGGGGGGTTTAGGGCGTGGGGACCAGGGAGGAGAGCTGCAAGCTTGACCCAGTGAGCAGAGTGGCCCTTGGCCTGCCTGCCTCAGCTGTGACTAGCTGTGGCCTCCCCTGCTGATGAGCTGCCCTCGGGCTGTGACCCTTCTGAAGTCATTCTGTGGTTTCTTTAGGATGAGAAGCAGTGTTGACACACAGTATCAGGGAGCAGTGCTCCGCTGGGGTCCTCGTGCCTTGCTGTGGTGGACCCAGCCCCCAGGGCAGGCACTGGTCGTGGTGCCATGGTGCATACAGACAGGGCTGGGGAGTGGTTGTCACAGAGAATGACGAGAGCTGCCTGTGAGTGTCTGTGCCACACCAGGAGCCCTGTCATTTAGACAGAAGTCACTGTAGGGACATAGGTCATTTTGAGAAACTCAGGCAGTCCTTCTCACTCCTGCTTCACAGACAAGAGCTGAGTGGGGAGACAGGTGCTCACCAGAGTCACAGCAAGGAGAGGCCCTTGCGTGCCTACTCTCCTGCTTCTTGCCATCATGCCCCCTCCCCTGAGGCTTCGCAGCAGATTCTAGGCCCCAGCAGTCAGACCTGTGGGTGTGAAGGGTAGGGCATGGCTGGAGTGCAGACACCCCAGCTCTGCATGACCACTCTGAGCTTGGAGGTCCTTGGTCAGAGCTTTCCCCTCTGGGGTGGACCTTCTCAAAGAGACTCTTCCTATGTTTCTGTAGTTGAAAGGCCAAGTAACAAGAGGAAGAGAGCCAGGGTAGGGATTTTTTTTAATATTTATTTTTCAGTTGTAGTTGGTCACAATACCTTTATTTATTCATTTTTATGTGGTGCTGAGAATTGAACCCAGGGCCTCGCATGTGCTAGGCGAGCGCTCTTCCACTGAGCCACAAGCCCAGCCCCTGGGTAGGGACTTTTAATGCCATGTGAACTGGTGGTGTGATGTGGGCCAAGCCTCCGGACTTCCCCAAAGCTAGCTTCTTCCGCCTTCATTTAGCACATGTTTCTGAGGAGCGCGCCTTGGTGTTCTCAGTGCTTTATGAGCATCAGTCAACTGAACCCTCTGGACAACCCCGTGACACTGCTCTTACTATCCCAGCTTCACAGATGAGAAAACTGAGACACAGAGATTAAGCAGCTCCAGGCTCATTGCTGTCCAGTATGCAGTTGACCCGTGTGCCCTGCCACAGGACTGGTCCCCGGCCAGGGCCTGGTCTGGGGGTGAGGACAGAACTACCATCAGGTCAGGGTAAAATATGCTCATAAGGAATAGGATAGGTGGGGTCAGGCAAGGGTTTTGAAAAGTATGGAGAACTTCACAGATTCCAGAGATCATTCCGGTAGTAGTAGGCAGCTGTCTTCCCACATCACAGAATGTTAACTTCCAGCCAGTCGTGTGCCTCAAAGGGAAGAGGATTAAAACAGTTCCACATTCAATTTCATTTGTAAAAATTTGATTCAAAGAGTGTTGGGGAATCTGAACGGCCACTTTTCTCCTTAGTTCAAACCTTTGCTGCTCTTTCCCTGTTGGGTGGCAGCTTTGCATGACCATGGCCACCTGACTCCTCTGCTGCTTTGCTTGCCAGATGCTGACCAGTACAAATACGGCAAGAACCGGGTGGAAGCGGATGCCAGGCGCTTGCAGACCAAAGAAGAGGAGCTGCTAAAGAGGAAGGAGGCACTGCGGGACCGGCTGGCGCAGCTCCGCAGAGAGAGGAAGGACCTGAGGGCTGCCATCGCAGTGAATGCAGGTAGGGGGGGTGGGGGCTTCCTTCTGCTCTGCCTGCGAGGCCTGGGACCATGGAGGCTGTCACGGGGACTGTCTGTGTCGCGCCTCCTAGGGCGCAGGGCGTGCCTGGCAAGCCAGGGCGGGCCCTGCGTGGTTATAGGTGCAGCCGCAGCAGAGGCTGGACCTGAGCCCAGGCTGCCCGGTGCAGCTCCAGCTCCATTCCAGCCTCAGGTGCCAATGACAGACGGGTCCAGGGGCGAGCCCTGTGGTAACAGGTGTCCAGGGGGTCTCTCAGCAGGAGTGCCCTCCACTGGGGCAGGTCCCACTCACAGGGGACAGCAGAGGCTTCACAGGAGGGAGCAGCCCTCCCTTCCCTGGAGGGGCTGGGGAGCAAGCAGAATGTGTCGGTCGGGGTTGGGAACGGCCAGGTCCGAGGGTCCAAAGAGGGTGCAGTCTAGCAGGGGAGCCAGGAGGCAGGAGAGCACCCCGGCCACCCTATTCTCTCCTGCTGGCAGGAGCGCCTGCCTGGGGATGGGATTTGGGCTGCCTCCATGCCACCATGCCAGACCACTTCCCCCACAGCAGCAAGGCTGGCTCTTCAGACAGCTCTGCCAGCCTCAGAAGGCGAGGGAGGGCAGGTGCAGAGGACGGGAGGCCACAGAAGCTCTCACTGGCTCATTCACACACAGCTGAAGCTGCCACACAGTCACCCAGCTCATCAGAGCTCGGCCTCTCTGGCTTGGAGCCTGGGGGATCACTGTGGAGGGAGGCGCTTCTGGAAGAGTGGAGGGCAGGCCCCGGAGGAGGAGGCAGGGAGAGCGTCCAGCCAGGGCTACCTGGTAGGGACCAGAGCCTAGCGTGGAGCTGGCAGGAGGGAGCGGCTCTCTCCCTGCCTCGTGGCAGAGCTGCAGCTGGTGAGCTGCAGGGAGGCCCTGGAACTTAGCCTCCAACAGGAGAGTCCCCAGTGCGGGCAGCATCAGCAGGGCCTGGGCGCGTTTGCCAGCCTCTTAGACTCGGTTTCCTCATCCGTCCAGCATGGATGCTGCGTGCTGCAGGTCACTGTGACAGACCTCAGCATGAGCAGAGAGGCTGGTGCCTGGAGCAGGGGAGCCGTTCCAGGGGACTTGTCCTGCAGCACAGCCAGGCTGGACAAGGCCTGCGCGCGAGCTGTGCTGGGAGCCAGTGGTCCAGTGGGCACAGAGGTCCCTCCTGAGAGCCTGGCAGTGACAGCGTGACTCTGGACTTGCAGGCAGGAAGACCCCGGTGGCCCTGGAGGACAAGCTGAGGAAGCTGGAGGAGGAGTGCAAGCAGAGGGAGGCGGAGCGGGTCAGCCTGGAGCTGGAGCTGACCGAGGTCAAGGAGAGCCTGAAGAAAGCCCTGGCTGGCGGCGTCACCCTGGGGCTGGCCATTGAGCCAAAGTCAGGGACATCAAGTCCACAGGTAAGCGTCCTGCCAACTCCCTGCAGAAGCCACAGAAGGGCCAGAGCCCCCCGGGGAAGTGCTCTGGGGCGGGTCTCAGTTCACTCTGGGTCTCCCGACGTGCAAGCTCACACGGGCTCACACGTCGTCATATGTTGGCACTGGACATGTTTGTCAGCTGTGTCCTCGGCTGGCTGACGTTGCATTTTCTTACCTCTGCACTGAAACTTCTACCAGGTCCTTGCTGCACGTCCATCCCTAAGAGAAGGGTGACTCCGTGTAGCACATTTGGTGCTGGAGCCCAGGGGTGGGGGCATGGGTTCCAGGCTGGGACCCTCAGAGCTGATGGGACATGGAATCGCCTCTCAAATGAGTCCTCCCCTTGGACTGCTGATGCTACACCAGCCCCTCGACAGGCAGTTCCATGCCTGAGCCCCAGCAGCCTCATGAGCCCCAGCGGCCTCGTGAGCCCCAGCGGCCTCGTGAGCCCCAGGTTGTTGCTTCTGTTTCACAAAAAAGGCGTGATGCCCATCAAGCACAGTCCACCCGCTCAGGAGTCCAGTATGCAGCTGACCCCACTGCGGCTGACGCTGGTGCACCCTCAGCCCGCCACCTGCACCCCAGTGTTCCTAAGGCAGGTTCTTCTTGCCAGGCATCTGGCACACGGCCAACCTGAGTGGATCCGATGCCCTCCACATGTGCATTTGGTGGATTTGCCAGATTTATGGGCACCACCAAAACCCAGCACCCACCTAGCCACCACCAGCAGCCCTGCCACACCACCTTTGCCACGTTACTCTCCTCCCCAAGCCCAGCCCCTGTCACAGCACAAGGGCCACCCCTCGCCTCAGAGATGGCCCCCTAGGCAGAGCCATTTCCAGCAGGCGGGGAGCTGCTCCATCACTGGACCCACAGCCCTGCAGGCTGGGGGACAGCAGGCGGGGTTTCCACACCTGGCCCCTCTCGCCTGGGCTCTGTGCTTCCGTTGTGTGCATGGTGCCCAGGATCAGTCCCGGGACCTCATGCCTCCTGGGTGGGTGCTCTGTCACTGAGCTACCCCCAGCCCAGCTGGCCCAGGTTCTCATCTGCTAGGTGACAATGTTGCCTGCTGTGGGGAGAGGTGTGGACTCCAGGGTGTCCTTCCAGCACGGATGCATGGGCTCTCATGTATCGACTCACTCCATTCATTGTCCTTAGTTAAATAGACTGATAGGTGCATATTAGTGCATTATATGCAGATTATGTTTATTTGACTCATTCATTCAACAATTATATGCTTGTATGATCGTATATTACTATTATATTTATATGGTCGTATATCAATAGTATTGTATGTAATTTATATGTAACGTGGTGTATCGTTATGTGCTACTATATATATGAAGTCATACCTTGTTCCCTCGGTGAGTCACAAACTATTCTGTTCCAACCATTGAATATACTACATAAATGTCCCTGTCCCGGGGCACTTGTGTCCTCACGAGAGGGGAAGCCCACCACAGCACTCCTCAGCAATGGAGAGGGTGGGTGCCGTGGGACCCAGGCTCTGAGGGCTGGGTGGCTTGGAGTGCTGAGTCTCTGTGTCTGACTTGACCTAGGACCAAGGGCCTGTGAAGCCAGGTGCAGCAGAGAGAGTGGGGAGGGCCAGGAGGGGTCTTCCCTGGGCTGCAGAGTTCTGGGCCTCAGAGGGACTCATGTCTGTGATCGGAGGCAGGAGAGCATGCACCCCTGGGCCACCATCCTGCTGGAGGGTAACGGTGGGCTGGGCGGCTGGGGGACTGCTCCATCGCCAGCCAGCGGGGACTGAGCTTCCCTGTAGCAACTGGAGCCTCTAGCTGGGCCCTGGGTCCCACCTCTCCAGACTTCAGACACCCATGAGAATCCTGCACCTCCAGCCTTCCTCTGGTAGCTTCCTTCTCCTTTTGTGGCACATGAAACACGAAGGGTGCTGCCTCGTCCCCTACTCCCTGCAGGCTGCCGCCCTCTGGCCCTGCCTGCTTCACCTGTCCTTCCAGATGAAATCTGGAAACCCAGCTGCAGCGTGCTTCCTCTCTGAGCCTGCCCTGCACGGGTGACCTCTGGAACTCTAGATCCCACAGGCACTTGAGTGCTCGCCTCTCTCCAGCTCCAGAGGCCTTTGGAGTGTCCCCTGCTTCCTCCACCGGCAGCAACCTCACACTCCTGGATCCCTGTCCCTCTAGAGCCCCTCTCTGGCCCCTTCATCAGCCCCTCCTGCTCACACATGCCCGTCTGGCCTCAGGAGCCAGCTCAGCTCTCAGAGGCTCAGGGCTGGGCAGTGTGCACGCCCGCCCCTCTGCCCGCTGTGCTAGCTGCTGCCTCCGCCCTTTGAGGGCCTCTCCGAGGACCGTGGTTGCCATCACCTGCCTGGCATTGGTGCGGCAGCATTCTGCCTAATTGCCTCCAGACCCCGTGTGCACAAGAGTGGCTCCTCAGAGGGAGGCTTTGCAGAAGCAGGTGCAGGTTGCCCGCCTGGCCTCTCCCACAGATGTCTTTTTTCTGTCCTTTTCCCAACCACTCCACCTGCAGCCTCTCGGGGTGGGCATTGAGAAGCTTTGCCAGGGAGAGCTTGCTCACAGCCCCACAGTGTAGTAGGAGCGCACAGTCATGGAGCCCACAGGGGACTGAGCTGTCTGTCAGATGCTACAGGAGACACTGCCCTCCCCAAACAGTACCCTGTGCCCCTGAGCAGCGTCTGATGGCAGTGATGACAGCAGGGTTAGTCCTTGGAGACTGTGACTGGGGTGCAGCAGATTGCCAGCAGGTTTTCCCAGAGAGCAGTTTGACTCCTATATGGGAGGGCAAATGTGGCGCCTTGGCAACTGAGGGTGAGGGTTGTTCTATCTCAAGTCTCCCGGAAACCTCTCCAACATGGCAGGGTGCCTGAATGTTCGTGACCCCTGAATATCAGTGGCCTGTGGCTCACTGTGACTGCATTCCCAACTTGATGCCAGTCCAGACACCTCCGCTGCCACCTGAGCCTCTCTGGCAGCCAGTCCCTGGGGATTCCCCGGAGTAAGCGAGAGCTGTGCAGATGCAGGAGCCAGAGGCAGCACCGTGTGAGCGGCAGGGCTGGCTCTGGATGCCACTCACGTGTCCTGGCCACTACCACCAAGTGGAGCCTCCCAGCCTCAGCTCTGCTGTCAGTGGCAGGGTGGCTAAAGGGTGCTGAGGATTAGGCCTGGGCTCTTACTGTCCTTGTGTCTAGTTCTGGTCATTTTCAAAATCCATTTCTTCTTTAAAATGCTGGAGAATACCTGGGAGCCAGAACCCACTTCTCACACCACACTTCCCTCTTTGTGACAGTCTCCCGGGTTGAGGCATCGCACTCTGGAGAACTCGCCCATCTCCAGTTGTGACACCAGTGACGCAGAAGGGCCCCTGCCTGTGAACAGCGCTGCTGTCCTGAGGAAGACCCAGCCAGCGGGCAACTCCCCCTGCCGGGGGCATGTGCTGCGGAAGGCCAAGGTGAGCCCCAGTCTCCCGGGCAGGCACGTGGCACCCTGAGCCCTGGGCAGGGTGAAGAGCGGGCTGGGCTGTCCTCCTGCTCTGCTCAGCCTCCTGCCAGAACGTGCTGAACGTCACCAAGCTCCCCCCCATACCCTCCTTCAGAAACTGGGATTTAAAATCAAGAGGGAGTCTCTGGCTCCTTAGTGTCCCAGAAGTGGGCGGGGCTTGTGGAAGAAGGGGCCCATGCAGGACTGTTCCCGTGACCCTCCCCATGCCTTGTGGTAAAGTGAGCACAACAGGCATTGCCACTCTCCTGTGCAAAGGTGAGCGGCTCTCGGCACGTTCCCGTCACCCCCACCTCCAGGACTTCAGCACCTTCCAACTGTACCCTGTCCTCATCCCTGGGGAATGCTGGCCCCCTCCCCTCCCTGACCCAGCTGCCCTTCTCCCATCTCTGGGTTCCACTGCTCTGGAACCAGGCCCTGTGCGGCCTCTAGTGATGGCTCTGTCCGCAGGGCGTCTCCGAGACTCTGGCCAGCAGGAGTACGCCTCGCCATGGCCCTCTGTTCCAGGCTGCCCTGCGCCCCGCCTGGACTTGCACCCTCTGTTTTCCTGCTCCCCCTCTGGCCTCAGGCTCCTCCTGCCTGAGGGCTGGCGGTGAAGCCTGGGGGAATTTGTCATGGGAGTTCCAGGCTCAGGTTTTTGAGGAACCTCATGGTGCTTCCCGTGGTGGCTGAGCACCCACAGTTTTGAGGTCTCCAGGGGGCATGAGCCCTGTCAGCCCAGTGTCTGGCCACTAGGATTTACGCTGTCTCCTTTTCTGCAGGAGTGGGAGTTGAAGAATGGCACATAAAGGAAGGCCAGGCCACCCAGCCTCAGATGGAGGCCGCACATGTCCCCTGGCCTCCTCGCAGTGACTGTGGACGCACTCCCCAGTGTGACCAAGCATGACTCCTGAGGGCCTGCGAGCAAGCCGCCGTGGCTCACGCGTGTTCTTTCTACTGTACCATGGTGCCCTTTAGAACAGCTACTATGAGGCTTTGATTTTGAACTATATTTGTTAAAAACAGAAGCAAAGAGGATTGACAAGCTGTTTAAAGACCCTGTAGAGGGCGGAAGGTCACCTCTCCAGCCAGACTGCACGCTCAGCCCCAGCCCTGCCAAGCCTGCAGACACCAAGCAGCCCGTGGCCTGCACTGCGCGGCCCGCTCTGGGGTGGCTGCAGGTCTTGGCTCTCGTGGCTGTGGCATGGATGCGTGGCCTGTCTCAGGACCCCCCACCTGCGTGCCCTGGTTGCTGGAGGCCAAGGCGCGAGGAGCGCGTGTGGGGAGCCAGTTGGCCCTTGCTCTTCCTTGTGGGCAGATGCTTTCTCCCTGGGACAGGAAAGCTGCCACTTGCTGTAACCTGCTTTAAAAATGTCTTTTTCTGTGTCCCACCTAGTTGGACCTGAGGAGTTTCCAGAGGTTCCATGTCCAGTTTTGTTAGTCATTGTTCTGCTCTGGGGGGCAGCAGAGTGCCCCTAGTACTTGGTTAGGCTCCCCCTGGGCCTGAGGCCCCTAGCCCTCCAAGCCTCAGGAGTGTGGGTGCCTCGGAGCCCGTGGCCATGTAGTGGGGGAGTGCACCATCTTTGTGCAGGCGTCCACTGCCTGGGGCGGGAGCCGTCCTTTGGAAAGGAAGCAAGTCATAGACCTAGAGCCCTTTGGGCCCAGCGGGGACCTTTCAGAGCCTCTCGTCTGCCCCCAGCTCGAGGGGTCAAGCTGAGCCAGGAGTGCGTCAGCACACGAGGCTGAGCTGTGACTCTTGAGCTCGCCGCCTCTCTCAGGTCCTGTGGGGTCCTGCTTGCCTCCTTCCCAGTGTCTCCTGGAGGGCGCTTGTGCTCAAGGACAAAGTGGAGCTGGTCGGCCGCCCACTTCTGCCCCCGTTCCGAGGCCAGTCTGCCTGCGTGGTCCCCACAGAAGGCCCACACTGGCGATGGACCCCCAGAGCACAGGCTCTACACCCACAGCCAGGGATTCTCATCAACCATAGGAAAAGAGGGCTGGAAGCAGTGTCCCCACACTCTCCCATGCCCTGGGCCAGCCACAGTGGCCTCATCGTCCTCAGGCCTTCCCGGGGAGGACCAGTTCTGCTGCCACAACCTCGGCCCTGCAGGGCTGGAGTTGGCTTTCTGTGAGCAGAAGAGCCGTCTCCAGTGAGGAAGGAAGTGTCGCAGCAGGACTGGGAGGCTGCTTGGCTGAGGCCCCCTGAAACTTGAATTTATTGTGAAGCCATCTGCCAGGAGTGTCTTTGGTCCGTGAGCTGCTTGGTGTTCCCACACCACAGCACGTGCCAGCACTGACCACAGGGGCCTCCTGCTGGAGCCCTCACAGGGAGGCCTGGAGGGGCAGCCTCCGCCAGAGCCAGTGGCTGGCTGTCACTGGGGAACCCCTTCTCTCTCGGGAGGGTTTCCCCATCATCACAGGAAACTGTGACCTCTCCGTCTCCTGTGACACTGATTTCCATAAAGGGAAGAAAATCAGACCTGCCATAGATTCCCGCTGCCTTCAGGTCAAATGAGCTTTCTCAGCTCTGGCCCTTCTGACCGGGGCCACCCTTGCCAAGCACCATGCCAGGTTTTGATGGTGGCCAACCTGAGGTCTTGGCCTTGGCCAAGGCAGGAGAATGTCAGCAGAGTGTCTTGTGCATGGGAGGTGGCCTCGGGCACTACCAGGACCAGCTTTGTGGTACAGGCAGAGACCCATGGCCTCAGAGTCTCCTCTGAGGACTCAGCTCTTGGTGCCAGAGCCAGGGTCCGGAGCCAGGTCTGGAGCCAGGTCTCCGCTCCAGAAGACAGGGTTGTGTCTGCAGCCCCAAGTTTGTAGCCCCCATCACAGCCGTGGTCTCCTGGGGAGGGCGCACACTGAAACGCAGTTCCCATGTCCCATGGAGCCTTTCCATTGGTCCTGAGGAGGTGGCGCTCCACCTGCGACTCCATAGCGTCCCTCACGCCCCTCCACGTTTCTAAGTGATCAGAAAGTTAGTTTAAAGTATTTGCTTCAAAATAAGTTATTTATTTGTATATTTTCAGTAAATAGAGTTGTAATTTATGTCTGTACATATTGGGCGACTGGAGGTGCCTGCCAGAGGTGACAGGTCGTGGCACCTTGTCCTCCCAGACGTCCTCCGGGCCGACTCTGGGACAGCTGAGCTCACTGGCAGATTCTGTCCCCAGGCCCAGTGGGCGGAGGTGGGGCAGCCCCTGGGGAAGTGAGGCTCTTCCGATGGTCAGCTGTCACTTCAGCAGGCAATCATGATCACAGCAGGGCTGCAGGAGGCCGGCCAGCACAGAGGAGCTGCCAGGACAGGTCAGCGGCAGCCCCTCTGTGGGCTCAGGCCCTCTTATTCTGAGGCCACAGTGTCATTCCTTGGGGTTCTCTCTGGGCCATAATTTGGCATGATGTCACCATCCTTCACCCCACTGTTAGGTTTTCATAACGTTTTGTTCACTGACTGACCATTCACATAGGAGCAGCATGCTAGCCAGAGGCTGGAGTTGGCCAGGCCAGCCCAGATGCCAGAGTCTGTCCAGATGAGTGTGGGCCTGCACACACAGAACTTTCTGGAACCCTTCTCTTTGCACTTGGAGTGGCACTGGCCGCCACGCATGCGCCTCCATCCCATTCCTTCCTTGTGTGTACCTCGGTGTTGTCCAGCCCTCTGTCCGCTTTGTCTTGCTTGTCCCCAGGTTGTTTTGGCTTTTCCTAAATAACCAGATCTGTGCACCGAGAGCACATGTGCGGCCACAGGGCACCAGACAGCTTCAGAGGTGCTGCCTGGTGCCACCTCGCCTTCTGCCAGGTTCCAAGGGCGGCTTCCCAGGCCATGGAGAGCCCCGCCAGCACAGTCCTTTAGAGCCCCTGCAGGGGACAGTAGGTCCCAGGGCTCCTGCTGAGGGTGGGCAGCAGCAAGGGGCCAGCGGCCTCCCACCAGAGGGAGGGCAACCTCCTTTGCCACCAGCGTCTGCCATGTGCATGCCGCAGGGTCCCCTCTGGTCACACAGAGATCGGGCAAGCTTCTGCCACCGCAGTGCAGGCAGGACACCCCGAGATCTGCAGGGCCACGCAACAGGGAGGGGAGCCACTGCCTTCCTCATCTCGTCCTCCTGCTTCCTAAAACCATTTCTACGGGAATAGTTTTAAACCAGGGCATGGTTTTAAAGAGGCAACTAAATATTTTGGTCCTGTTCTACTGTCCTCTTACAACCCATGGAGAGCTGGGTTCATACTGTGAAACTGAAAATCAAAAGCGAAGCCGCTGTGTGTGCTCAGGCCCAGCCCGTGGAGGGCCCCAGGACCGCTGTGCCCTGCCCAGCCAGGGCTTGTCGCCTTAGTCACGTGGGGGTGGCCGGGACCTGACACCCTGTGGGTACCGCGGTCATTGCCTCGGGTGCTGGCTGCCTGGCACACAAGAACGTCAGGCGTTGGCGCCCTGGGAGAAGTTTGCAGCCGCATCTGCAGACCTTCCTTCCTAGGGACCAAAGGTATTTGTCCAAGGCCATCTTTCCAATTGATTTTCTAATGAGAAAGGAAATATTCACTAGACATTTTAGCATCAACTTTTACACCATAGGTATTCAGAATTAATTGACCATGGCTGTAAGTTGTAAGATGTTTTCATATTAAGAATGTAATTATTTCCTTATTGTATTTTTTAAAACTAAAGTCATATTTAAATTTCTCTTTGAAAGAAACTTTTTTTTTAAATTAAATACATTGGTAGTGCCCATTTGAGATGACTATAAATATATTTTCACTGTTTCTCAGTGTATTTAATTCATAAAGTAAAAAATTTTATAAAAAGAAACTTGCAATGAAAATACTACTTTTCAGCCCATTTGCCCCATTTGTAGCCACCTCACTTGAATTTTCTGCTCTACTAATCGACTTTCTACTGTTTACGTGGTGTAGCCACTGACTGGTGCCCCTCGGCGCGACCACTGTGTGTCACTAATAAACTGCTCTGAGGACCAGGCCTGTGTCTTGCTGAGCGTGGGGCCTGGCGCAGGTTGGGGTCGGGAGGCACAGGGCAGGGTGAGCATAAACCCTTCCACGAAGGAACCACCGTTTTAGTCTGCAGACTGACCGTCCAGATGCCAAGCCCATGCCAGGGCTAGAAGGGGATCAGACAGGGAGGGCCCTGCTCTCAGGTACCAATGGGTCAAAACAGGCGGAAACAGAAAGTGGGTCTGGTTTTTGAGTGGAGGTTTCTGGAATGGTAGAAGGAGCAGCTCACTTTGAGGCCATTTGATAAAGTTTTTAGGTGGGGTCAGTTGAACTAGGCTTGGGGTTTAAGTAGGAGCTCAATGAGGTGAGAGTTTGGAGAAGACGTTCCAGTCAGAGACGGCCACGGGAGCAGAGGGGTGGAGAGTGGAGACGGAGCTGCCTGGCCAAGGAGGGCAGCCGCGTTCGCTGGGAGCGGACCGTGGAGGGCACTGGGGGAAGGGTCTGTTTACAGTGCTGTTAACCGCGGCCATCTTCCCAGGGACGAAAACACAAGACAGGAGCACACCTGGCAGAGAGGCTTGGTGGGGTGAGCAGAACCCCCGAGCTGGGTGGGCTGGAGCGTCCTGGACCAGGTCGCTCCCTGGAGCCCCAGCCAGGGGCAGGAGGCCTGGCAGCCTGGGCTGCGTGGCTTGGTTCCCAGCTCCAGGGATTCGCCTGTGGGTCCCAGCGGGAGGCGCAGCTGGGGCAGGCACTGTTGCTGGGGCTGGAGGTCAGCGAGGCAGGCTTCCACACTGCCCTCCACCTGACCCCATCCTCGACCTCCAGGGTTCACCTGCAGGTCTCATCAGGTTGTCCCACTGGCACCTCCCAGGTCCCCAGCTGCTGGCCAGCCAGCCTCCCTGCCACCCCACTCATCCCCCGGGAAGCCTGGAGCGAGCCGCCCTCGCCCCTTCCCTGAGGCCACTCCTGCTCCCTGCCAGCCTCTGGCCCCAGCCCTCTTCCAAGCC